AGGTCCATCACCATCATCGGAAGTTCCAAAAAGCCATTCTCCTTGCACATTTTTCTCCTTTGTAACTGACTCATTTTTAAAACACTGTTTTGATGCAGGGGTTTCTTCGCTGAATCTTTCAGCAAAAGTAAATTGTTGTCCACCTTTTTTGGGACCATCAGTGTCAGTGTTATTATTTTTCTCGGTGGCATTAGGAATGACATGTATATCTCCAGCCTCCATGAGAGACCCTGTGAAAAAAACCATGCAGTACATCTCAGTTGCATTCCTTCTAGTAGATGATGTTCGTGGCATGGTTAAAGTAAGGAAGCAGCAAGAGCAAGTGGAATTTTAAAATGGAACTAGAGCTTTAGAAGTTAGAAAATCAGACAAAGAATGTTTTAACCTGTCTCCTATACATCTTGAAAAAGCTATTTTCCATTATGTAGTCTGATGACCATAATGTGTGGCAAGAAAATTTTCCTGACTGAATATTACAACTAAATGTCATCCAATTGAACTGCACAGCTGCCAGGATTTTTTAAAAAAAGAAGTAAATGAGATGGGCAACTGCATACTCACTAATGTTGCAGGGAATGAGGCGAGCACTGTCCTCGATCGATCCTGTTGACACATAGGCACTTCAGTTTGAAAGTGTCATGCAAGATATGCACTGCTTGATTATAGGAATTCTTGTACCTTTTTTCATGCCTTATTTCTCTCGGCAAATGATATATATGGCATAAGATAAGTAAATCACTTCCTGAATTCCATTCAAAACCTTGCCTTTTTTGCCATGGTCAGTTCCCTACAAAGAAAAAAAAATTTTGAAAAGCAATTACTCTGTGTTAATCTGACACTTTCTCTGATATAAAAATAAGCTTACGGGATTAACTCTTCCAGTATGAAGTCATTCATGCCTTTCTTTGGGAGATTGATAAGGTAACATATTTCAAATCCAGATAATAAATTATATTAAAAATCTCTAAAGATATGATTAACTTTGATGGTAATGGATTCAAGTTCATCCTTTGAACTGATAGGAGAACATTACTAATGAAACGGGAATTAATCTTTTTGATAAAATTTCCTTAAACTACATTTCCTGAAAAAAATATATGCATCTAACATTTACCTGCTTTCCACTTTTGTCCCTTTTCAATTTTTCTACATTATTCAACCTGGGGTGCTTGACTCAATACTATAATTGTGTCCTCTGTTATGAAGAATATTTAAAGTGCTAATAATATTTCACCTATATGCTGGAGGGTGTGAATAATTCCTCTGGGAGTAATTCAGGACATTGCCCTCTCTTTGATACACATCCTAATGACCAAATTACCAACTTGTGTGTGAAATGGAATCATGTTAGAGTCCATAAAAACTGAATGTTTGATTAAATTACAGTGTTGCTTGTTAATAAATTTTCTTGCATTTGGTTTCTAATCAATAATCCCCTGAGTGCAAGTTTAATATTGGGGATGCAATTTCAAAGTTCAGGTAAACTCACTTCCAAGCCTATCTCTCGGGAAATAACTTCAGAGATCAAGACAGCTGATTAGATAGGATGCAACAATGAAGAGTTACACCTGAAGGTGGAAACTTGGAAAATCCCTACATATTTTGTATCAAAAGTATATTAAAACAGTAAAGTAATTATCTTATATCCCAATAACAATGCTCGGAAATCATCAACAATCATATGAAAATCATCTTACACCTCAACTTGGTAAATATTTGTCAGCAGAATTATTTCTTTTGCATTTGTAATGTTAAGTAAAACTTACCACCTGAATCTTCAACCATTATAAAAGTGTTATAAAATCGCTTATTATTCAAGCCACTGATCGAATCTNAAAGAATGTTTTAACCTGTCTCCTATACATCTTGAAAAAGCTATTTTCCATTATGTAGTCTGATGACCATAATGTGTGGCAAGAAAATTTTCCTGACTGAATATTACAACTAAATGTCATCCAATTGAACTGCACAGCTGCCAGGATTTTTTAAAAAAAGAAGTAAATGAGATGGGCAACTGCATACTCACTAATGTTGCAGGGAATGAGGCGAGCACTGTCCTCGATCGATCCTGTTGACACATAGGCACTTCAGTTTGAAAGTGTCATGCAAGATATGCACTGCTTGATTATAGGAATTCTTGTACCTTTTTTCATGCCTTATTTCTCTCGGCAAATGATATATATGGCATAAGATAAGTAAATCACTTCCTGAATTCCATTCAAAACCTTGCCTTTTTTGCCATGGTCAGTTCCCTACAAAGAAAAAAAAATTTTGAAAAGCAATTACTCTGTGTTAATCTGACACTTTCTCTGATATAAAAAATAAGCTTACGGGATTAACTCTTCCAGTATGAAGTCATTCATGCCTTTCTTTGGGAGATTGATAAGGTAACATATTTCAAATCCAGATAATAAATTATATTAAAAATCTCTAAAGATATGATTAACTTTGATGGTAATGGATTCAAGTTCATCCTTTGAACTGATAGGAGAACATTACTAATGAAACGGGAATTAATCTTTTTGATAAAATTTCCTTAAACTACATTTCCTGAAAAAAATATATGCATCTAACATTTACCTGCTTTCCACTTTTGTCCCTTTTCAATTTTTCTACATTATTCAACCTGGGGTGCTTGACTCAATACTATAATTGTGTCCTCTGTTATGAAGAATATTTAAAGTGCTAATAATATTTCACCTATATGCTGGAGGGTGTGAATAATTCCTCTGGGAGTAATTCAGGACATTGCCCTCTCTTTGATACACATCCTAATGACCAAATTACCAACTTGTGTGTGAAATGGAATCATGTTAGAGTCCATAAAAACTGAATGTTTGATTAAATTACAGTGTTGCTTGTTAATAAATTTTCTTGCATTTGGTTTCTAATCAATAATCCCCTGAGTGCAAGTTTAATATTGGGGATGCAATTTCAAAGTTCAGGTAAACTCACTTCCAAGCCTATCTCTTGGGAAATAACTTCAGAGATCAAGACAGCTGATTAGATAGGATGCAACAATGAAGAGTTACACCTGAAGGTGGAAACTTGGAAAATCCCTACATATTTTGTATCAAAAGTATATTAAAACAGTAAAGTAATTATCTTATATCCCAATAACAATGCTCGGAAATCATCAACAATCATATGAAAATCATCTTACACCTCAACTTGGTAAATATTTGTCAGCAGAATTATTTCTTTTGCATTTGTAATGTTAAGTAAAACTTACCACCTGAATCTTCAACCATTATAAAAGTGTTATAAAATCGCTTATTATTCAAGCCACTGATCGAATCTTGGCTTTGTTTTGTTTTCACAATCATTTCATTTTTATGCAAAGCATACTTGTTCTAAAGTGAGCATAAAATGATTGCTGCTGGAATAGATTTTTAATTTAGAGTTGTCAAACTGTGAAATTGATAATTCCTCTGTACCGAATTGTAAAAATATTAGGACTTAGAAATGGATGGCATTATAAATGGTCGCCAGAAGACAATGACAGTTGGACTAATGGAAATAGGAAGACAGTTAAATAATGTTCCTACCTTGTCAGAATGAAGGGTTCTAGCACACCAATATCTTCAGCAGGATTTCAATAGGGATCACTTGAGTAAATGAATTTAGGTCATGAGGCCCATTACTCTGCATTTCAGTGTCAGTTGGTTGTTATACCCATATAAATGTATATCTTTATACGTATACCAGTTGGGTCTTTCCTCTACCTTAGATCTTATTCATATCTTATTCATTTAATCTAATTTCCATAGTCACTGTTTATTTTCTTTCCTTTTGTACAAAAACAGGGTTCCACTTAAGAGTTATCTTTACTTTTAGGTAAATACACATAACACATGTGCTAATTGTTGACATAAGTAAATATTTTGTATGGAGGGCACTTTGCTAGATTTCACCCATACTGTTCATTTGGACCTGAATGTGATTGTTGAGATGAATAAAGATTATTTTCACTGCAGTGGACTGATGTCAATAGTGTACTGTGACATACAGTTGTGTCTTGGTTGTGGCTCTTCATGATATGCTTATTTAAACCTATCTTGGACTCTTTGGACCAGGAACCCAGTGAACCACTAGAGTGAGAAGAAAAGGAATGGATCTCATGTTGACTGCAAAAAAAAAAAATAAATAAAAAAAAAAAATAATAATAAAATAAATAAAAAAGATTAATAATAATAATAATAATTAGATAAAATTATTATTATCATCATTATTATTCTTGTTATTATTTATTTCTTTATTTTTAAGAATAATAATGATGATAATAATAATTGTTTAATTAAAAAAAACTATATGCTAGCGAGAATGTCTAATGATTTAATTTAAATGTGTGACATTATTAACATATTATTGTTTTCAATGATGGACAAGATAACAAATGACACCACTGACTGCAGACATATCAGTATGCTTGTGCTCAGATCATTGTAAAACCCTGAAAAAAAGTAAAGTGGTGGGAGAAGTGCTTTTAAATTTTAGTCTGATATTTATAAGGTGTAAGGTTAATTTCTGAAAGAGTTATTTTGATATAATTTTAATAGTTGGAGATGGTATGTGTCAGCTTCTGGCCCAATTCCAATCAACAGTTTTGATGAAAGTGGGCTGCAAATATTTTTGAGGTGTTCATTATTTTTCAGCAATCAATAAGCTTTCTGAAAGCTTTTTTTCCACATTATCATAGTTATTGTAAAAATCAATTTTTGGAGAAAGAAAAGGTGTTAAATACCTTTGTTTGGCACTAGTACCAAATACAAATTATTTAACTTATATTTTTGAAATAATTTATTGTCATTTAAATATGAGATAGATGATGAATTCTTTACATTTGATAACTTCTGTCAGAGCAGTATTATGTGTTTTGATAAATCTTTAAAACTTTATATATCATTTTCTGCTGGTAAAAATTCGGTATTACTAATCAGATGGAATTCAAAGTAAGTTTTGACATGCAAACAGAGACTAAAGTCTTTATTCAAAAAAAAAAAAAAAAAAACACTGAAAACCCAAATCTAACTTTTCTATATAGTGCGCAGTCAGTGCATCTTGTATCGGTGTTGCGCAAGTCACTTTCTCCAAAGAAATTTTGTGGGGGTTACGGAAGAGGGTATCGAAAACAGTCCTTGTGACCAGATTGAAATGCCCCCTGTGTAGGTAACAAACACAACAATACCATGCTTTTCATGCCTCAAGAAATTTGTATCAGGAGTAGTGTATTACTTCTTTTGTATGGCACATGAAAGCAGAACTGTAATATAAATATGTGCCACTCTTTGCAGTATTTGGCTAGCACGACATTAATGGTACTATACTTGAGAATAAGGACCTCATAGCATCGATGGAGGAAATTCATGTCAAAATGTCTCTCTGAAAGGCAAATATTTAAGTCACCTGTTTTTACCTTAATGAACTTGAAAGTTAAAACCAAATTACACGTGACTTCTGAGAAGCCAGGATATTAGGAAGAGGAAGATATTTGTATATATATTTCGTAGTCCATGAGATTTGGTTACTTGTCCTTTTTGAACACAGAGTTAAAGGAGATTTTAATAGAACATAAGCAGTTCTTATGAAAATGACAACAAGGATGACAAGCAGAAGCTTAATGAACACAGCACCAGATCATATGCCATAGTACTAGAACACTTCAGAGAATGTGACTTTGAACCCAGACAATTTTTTTTCTCTGCCATTTTGGAAACTTAGTGAAGTACCGACATGGCGGGCTCTAATAGGCATAGTAGAGTGATCTCCAAATCTTTCCGGGTAAGTGGGTATTGATCTATATCCTTCACTTTTCAAACATACAATTCTACTCTAAGATTGAACTGAAATTAAAAAAAAAATACGACAAAAATTATGGAAAGGCATACTGATCAAGCATTTTATGATTTTGTCTCAGTAAAAGATGGTTGATCTAGTGATAATTTAATGAATAATCAACTGATTTGATGAATGGTGATGTGCTTCTGCATTAATCTGTAACATTATTGGAAGTTCAGTTTCTACTCAAAGAATCTTTAGACTATTTTGAAAAATTTGTTTTGTACAAATTTCAGATGTTTGGAAATACAAATGGTGGGGATTCAGATGATGATGATGATAGCAATGGGGAAAATAATGATGGACTTGAAGAAGAAGAAGAGGAAGAATTGAGATCCCTGAGAAGTCCATCAATTCCGTCCATAGCTCCAGATTTGGATGATATCCTGGAGGACGTTTCTCCTACGCCTACTCCCACACCTCCCCCAGACGAGCCACCAGACGAACATTTAGCAAGAATAATTCCACAATTCAATCATCCAAAGAGGGAAGAAAATCGCCAAAAAATTAGGAACATGGTGAAAAGGGTGAATGTGGTGTCAAAATGGAGGGACACAAGGACAGTGACAGGAAAAGTTACCACAACGTTTATATGTGCACCTACACAGAGGATTACCTACAGGGAGAATCGAATTCAGGCATCTGCTGCCTTGGAGACTGTCAATTTGGTAACAAAGCCTCCGCTCAGTAAAATTAAGAGCATTTTCTTCAGGGTTCTGGCAGAATTGATTTTTCTGGCTAACTTGACTTTTGCCCTGTATGATATCATTACTGGCCCTGAATTTCTGTATTTCAAGGTCACAGCATTTCTTTTTGGAGTTTTTGAAAACCTGCTCATGTTTACAATGTGGTTTATTCTGTCCTGTCCTTGCATGAAAGGAGAGGAAGAGAAAACCAAGAAAGTCGAGAAGTATCGTCAGTATATAGAAAATGTTGTTCATGAACTTTTGATCTATCCTGCCATTATTATCAATGTAATTGCAATAGCCACTGAGCAGTCGTATACATTTGAAGAGGTTGCTGCTATCATAACTATGGCATTACTCTTCATAGATGGCATTGATTTGATTTTCAACGTTTACACTGTGAGAATGTTCATGGCTTGGAAAATCACCAGGAATATTGAAGATGAAATCTTGAAAGTAGCAGTGGACGAGAGTAATACATTAGAAAATGCCACCCTCGGAGGGAGCAAATTTGGTCGTGTGCTACAACGATTTTACTTCACTATGTTAGGAAACACAATGCTTATGGGATTGATGCTGTGCACTCTGGGAGTGCAGGTTTTATATGACAATCAAGACTCAGGGGACTATACCATGTCATTGTATGCCATTCTCCAGATCGTTTTAGTTCTCTTTTTTCCATTTTACAGCATTTTCCTCTTCATAGCAGTCAATTATTTTTGGATTTTTGAGTTGTTCATCAGTATTAATCGTGCTGTCATGCGCAAAAAGGAAATTCAGGAAAATTTAGTTAAAGATTATGGGGAGATGGTTGGGGAAGTATTGAATTTTGCCATTGATAAATCAGATTATACGGAAGTTCGGCATGAAGATATACAGACTATCACATCCACCCAAAAGTTTTTCTATGCTTTATGGGAGTGGTGGATTGCCATATTGTTGTTAATGTGGCCATTAATGTATGCTGCATTTGGAGAGTCACTGAATGTAATCGATGTCCCAAGTGCACCTGAAATGAAGGTAGCATTCTATGTGACAGCAGCTGTGGTTAATTTACAGGTGTGCTTTTTATCAATTTGTATGCTGGTGATAGCAGTGCTGTTTCTGGCTGGTGGTTTTCTGGTTATTATTTATTATTATGTTGTAGGTAAAAAGAAAAGTAAAGTAGACCACCATGGCAAAGCAGATGGCATTGTAAAAGTAGAAAATGGAAATATTGATAAGCTACGATAGTTCAAGTTTTGATGGTCATATAAAAAGCAATATTTTATGAGAAGTCATGTTCACAAGTGCTGAGCAGAAAAAATGAAAGAATTATGAACTGCATTGAGGCTACTAATGATACCCAAAAGAATGTTTGTGTGTAATCTATATCAAGGACTAATACTCAAGATTATTTTTGTTGTTATTTGTCACATACATCTCACACTGTATGCATGTACCCAGCATGTGTGTATAGCATATAGATATATGTACATATGAATGTGCGCTGTGAAGGCCAGAACTACTATTCGTGCTGTACTTAATAAATTGAATCCTGCTGGGATTACTTGTAATCCTTTAATGCAGATTAAGTTTAATAGGTATGATTCATTATTCCTTCAATTTTCAATGTATTTAAAAATAATTTTGGTCTATTATTGAAAATTAAAGTAAAATATTTTTTGAGAAACTAAGCATGTTTTTACATGTGACTACTGGATAGCATTTTGACTCTTTACTGAAGGGCCTTGATTGCATGACTCATATAGCTATAAATGAAGGATGAAAGTGCTTTACTTTTTTTTTTCATTTTTACACAAGAGACAATAAAAAATCTATTTCACTGATCCACTGATTCTTGTTTTTATCATTTTAACTGTGAAAAAACTTTTTCTACTGATTGAGATAAAACATTAAGGTCCGTTAGACCTACTTTGTAGGTCAAGTGTTAAATTGGCTTGATCAAATTATTCCTTAATTTTTTCAGTAATTTTTTCTATTATTTTGACCTGCTTTAAACATTACGTTTACAGTAGAAGCAGGGGCTTAACTGTCTGAAATAACTTTAATTATTATGTGGTTGTCTGTACATGTGTCATCACTAGGTGACTTATTTACAAACCACAAGGAAAAAGAAAGAATAAATTACAGGTCATACTGTAACTTTACAAGTTAGGATATATGTAGAGTTTGCTTAAATAAAGATTTGGTTTAAAAAATTTCACCATTTTAAAGCTCTAAAACTGGAAATTGGAACTACAGCATTCTGTAAAATGTTGTTTTATGCATTTAATAGACAGGATTAGATTTCAAGCCTACAAATGGTAAAAAGAATGAATATCAGAAATTGTTTTGAGATCAAATAAAGAATGAATGCAAGAAAGATTTATGTGAGAAACAACATTTATCTTTCATAAATATACAACTATCAAGAAAAAGAAATGCTATTTAAGGCATTTACGTGAAGGTTCTCCAAAAAGCAATTTCAAGTTATGAGAAAAAAGACCCATCCATTGACATTCTTTGGATTTCATTTCAAAGTATTTCTTTTAATTCTAATATTTATTCTTATATATACTTATACATTTTTTTTTCTTTTGCAGGCAAAGTATTTCCAAAATTGCGAAAGAGGAACAATCGTCTGCGGGGCAGCAGCTCCAGTGCCTCAGGCTCCAGTTCAAGCCAAGATGGAGACCTGCATTCAGACTTGTTTGTAGATGAGGAGACCACAGACTATGTTTTTAGGATTATCACCACATTCAGACCAGAGAACATGCGTAAGTCCTGAGTTTCATAATAGGGTTAAATAGAAGGGATTTGAATTATCACCTAAAAGGACAAATAGATATTATACTTTTCCTTAATATTGTACCTGTTTTGTGTATAATGTTATTGGACTTGTTATTACAAAGTTAAATGTCAGTGATTTGGTAGGTGTATGTTCCTTATTTGTTATTTCAGATAGTAAATCATCTCTGTTGTTACACACTACGTACATTTCAGTTTAAAGAATATTGAGACTAATGCTTTTACAAAGTAATTTTCTTCTTATGAAATGGTTGCTTTCAAATTTGTTCATCACATTTGATTTAAGCCCCAGAAATCCTTGACACAAAGACAGAGTTCAACTTCAAACTGTTGGACCTGTTTCCATGGCAGAATAAAGAGACCAACGTGAGCAAGCCGTCTACTCCAGTCACCCCAGAGACTTCCGTGCATTCGTACGCTAGGGCGCAGCAGCACATGAACAACACATGTATCTTTCAGAATCAGTCGAATCACAGGTATTGATGCTTTTATGGACAGTTTATCTATTCAGTATTTGCCAACTGTAAGTAACATGTGGGGATTTTAAAGTGATAAAATTGGATGAAGTTATTCTGGATAAACCTATGGAGAAAAAGAAATGCAGAGTAAAAATTCAAATGTCATTTCACATTTTAAAAAACTTAAAGATGCATGTGAAGTGCTAGTAAATGCCCTATTACATAGATAAATTGTTTAAACAAGTTTCTTACACAATTCAAATAAAATCCAAATGCCAGAAAACTAGTACCTGCTTGTCACAACCTAGTGGAACAAAGTGTGGACGAAGCACATGTGCAGCTACTGTACACATTTTGCTCCATTCAGATGCTTTATAAAAAAAAATTGAAAAAGAATTGAAAATAAACTATAAAAGAATTGAAAAAAAAATTATAAAATAAACTGTCACTATTGTTCCATACATTTGTATACATTCCAGAGCCACCATAAAACAACTGTGTGATACTATGAGGAAGCAGATTCTGTCACGGGCATTCTATGGATGTAAGAGAATATTGCAGGGGCGTAACCAGACCTTTAAAAATTGTACGCACAGATTTTTAAAATTCCCAGCAAAATGTAGACTAATGCAAGAGATGAAGGACAACGTAATTACAGCATTTGTACCACACATCGCAGCTTAATTTCCATTAATAATAAAATCATCATTTAGTCAGTTAGTCTCGCAATTAAAAAAGTTTCAATATTCTTTTTACCCATAACGGTATATTTATTTAAAAGGAGGCTAGCTTCGCTTATGTGGAACCCCCTTCGAATAATCCTGGATCCACCTCTGAGTTGAACTAACATACGGTTTCATTCACCTTACTTGTGGATGCATGGCTCCCAAAACAACCAATTGTACGACACGACAGACCTCTGATACATCTAAGTTTAATTATTTGTTTGTAAAAATTGCCCATGTCACCCTGTTAGTTTGAAAGGGGTAAGCTGGGTCAAGTCCGTGTCAAAATTCTTTGAAGCTTTGCAGGAAAAATTCTGCTTTTGTTTCTCTAGCTCCTTCTTAAACTTGGTGTCCAGATTTTATCTAGTGCCCCCAGGGTTGCGGAAGCTGCTCTTTGAGAATAACACTCAGGCAGATTTTTACCTGAGATAAATATCGCCAGCTAGAATGCGTTCGATATTCTCAAGAGAGAGGGTACAGAAGAGTTGAGGGCCACTGAACCCTCCAATTAAGAGGTAAAGGAAGTTTCAGTTAGATGGACGATTAAAGTCTATAGGATAGGACTTGTTAAGGTTATAGGCATTGTTTACCACAGTTTGCAAGACGGGGGGTGGGGGTGGGGGGGGGGGTCAGAACAATTGTGCCTATACAATTGAAACAGATGATTTGTACATACAGGTGACTTTAATAAGAAGAGGATTTTCTTTTATATTCCATGAAAAATACACTAAATTTATATGAAATAATAACATGGTTGGCCAAAAAATTGTACGCACAGTGCATCCGTGCGTATGCCTAGTTACGCCCATGCATTGTACCTATGGAATCATTACTTGTGTCTAACAGTTTTGTAGAGGTTCATGTACAGTCATACCTACATTGTCTATAAAATAAATAGATCATAAAAAAGTAGTAGAACTTTTTTTATGCAGGAATGTTTACAGATTTGAAACCTTGTCATTAAAGAGCACCTATCCACCTAATTAAGCATCATTCATTCTCTGACTTGGGCGTTTACCAACTATGAAATATAACTAAAAAAAGACAAAGTATTTTTATTTATTTATTTATTTATGTAATTTATTTATGTAATTTTTTGCCATCTCTCTCAGGGCTTGCTCACCGTAGACACCTGAAGACAGTGCGTACTCACCTGTCTGGTCTGGTGAACAGTACCATGTACCCTGTAGATGACCCATGTGACGCGGCTTGTGGCCTCTCTGCTGATACCTGGGCAGAACTGTATAAGAACCAAGTGGTGGAAGACTCCTTGGAAGTGAATAGACTGACTTATTATGGTGGTGTGGCACATGAAATTAGGAAGGAGGTGAAAATGCATGTTCTTTGTCTTTTTCNGTTATTTATTATTATTGTGTAGGTAAAAAGAAAAGTAAAGTAGACCACCATGGCAAAGCAGATGACATTGTGAAAGTAGAAAATGGCAATATTGATAAGCTACGATAGTTCAAGTTTTGATGGTCATATAAAAAGCAATATTTTATGAGAAGTCATGTTCACAAGTGCTGAGCTGAAAAAAAAAATGAAAGAATTGTGAACTGGATTCTTATTGTGCATTGTGTAGGCTATTATTGATAGCCAAAAGAATGTTTGTGTGTAATCTATATCAAGGACTAATATTGTTGCTGGTTTTTGATCATAAAACCTTAATACTCAAAATTATTTTTGTTGTTATTTGTCACATACATCTCACACTGTATGCATGTACCCAGCATGTGTGTATAGCATATAGATATATGTACATATGAATGTGCGCTGTGAAGGCCAGAACTACTATTCGTGCTATAATAAGTTGAATCCTGCTGGGATTACTTGTAATCCTATAATGCAGGTTATGTTAAATAGGTATGATTCATTATTCCTTATATTTTCAATGTGTTTGAAAATTAATTTTGGTCTATTATTGAAAATTAAAGTAAATTATTTCTCTAGAAACTAAGCATGTTTTTACATGTAACTACCCTAGCCTGCATAGCATTTTGACTCATGAATGCATGACTCACATGGCTATGAATAAGGATGAAAGCACTACTTTTTTTCATTTTTACAAAAGAGACAATAAAAAATCTATTTCACTGATCCACTTATTATTGTTTTTGATCATTTTAACTGTGTAGACACTTTTTCTACTGATTCAGATGAAACATTCTGGCATTTCCGTACGGCCTACTTTGTAGGTCAAGTGTTAAATTGGCTTGATCAAATTATTCTTTCAGTAATATAATTTTACTTTTTTTGACCTGCTTTAAACATTCTGTTTACAGTAGAAGTGGGGGCTTAACTGTCAAAAATAAGTTTAATTATCATAAGGTTGTCTGTACATATGTCGTCATTAGGTGACTTATTTTCAAACCACGAGGGAAAAGAAAGAATTACTTACAGGTCATACTGTACTGTACGAGTTAAGTGAGGTCTGTGTATAGTTTGCTTAAAAATAAAGATTAGAAATAAAGTTTGCTTAAAAATAAAAATTCATCTTTCATAAAATATACAACTATCAAGAAAAAGAAATGCTATTTAAGGCATTTACATAAAGGTTCTCCAAAAAGCAATTTCAAGTTATGAGAAAAAAGACCCATCCACTGACATTCTTTGGATTTCATTTCAAAAGTATTTCTTTTAATTCTAATATTTATTCTTATATATACTTATACATTTTTTGTCTTTTGCAGGCAAAGTATTTCCAAAATTGCGAAAGAGGAACAATCGTCTGCGGGGCAGCAGCTCCAGTGCCTCAGGCTCCAGTTCAAGCCAAGATGGAGACCTGCATTCAGACTTGTTTGTAGATGAGGAGACCACAGACTATGTTTTTAGGATTATCACCACATTCAGACCAGAGAACATGCGTAAGTCCTGAGTTTCATAATAGGTCTGAATAGAAGGTATTTGAATTATATTCTCCCCTATAAGGACAAATAGAAATTATACTTTTACTTAATATTGTGCCTGTTTTGTGTATATTATTATTGGACTTGTTACTACAAAGTTAAATGTCAGTGATTTGGTAGATGCATGTTCCTTATTTGTAATTTCAGATAGTAAATCATCTCTGTTGTTACACACTACGTACATTTCAGTTTAAAGAATTTTGAGACTAATGCTTTTACAAGGTAATTTTCTTCTATGAAATGGTTGCTTTCAAATTTGTTCATCACATTTGATTTAAGCCCCAGAAATCCTTGACACAAAGACAGAGTTCAACTTCAAGCTGTTGGACCTGTTTCCATGGCAGAATAAAGAGACCAACGTGAGCAAGCCGTCTACTCCAGTCACCCCAGAGACTTCCGTGCATTCGTACGCTAGGGCGCAGCAGCACATGAACAACACATGTATCTTTCAGAATCAGTCAAACCACAGGTATTGATGCTTTTATGGACAGTTCATCTATTCAGTATTTGCCAACTGTAAGTAAGATGTGGGGATTTTAAAGTGATAAAATTGGATGAAGTTATTCTGGATAAACCTATAGAGAAAAAGAAATGCAGAGTAAAAACTCAAATGTCATTTCAGATTTTAAAAAAACTTAAAGATGCATGTGAAGTGCTTGTAAATGCCCTATTACATAGATAAATTGTTTAAACGAGTTTCTTACACAATTCAAATAAAATCCAAATGCCAGAAAACTAGTACCTGCATGTCACAACCTAGCTACTGTACACATTTTGCTCCATTCAAATACTTGCTTTGTAAAAAAAATTGAAAAAGAATTGAAAATAAACTATAAAAGAATTGAAAAAAAAAATTATAAAATAAACTGTCACTATTGTTCCATACATTTGTATACATTCCAGAGCCACCATAAAACAGCTGTGTGATACTATGAGGAAGCAGATTCTGTCACGGGCATTCTATGGATGTAAGAGAATATTGTACCTATGGAATCATTACTTGTGTCTAACAGTTTTGTAGAGGTTCATGTACAGTCATACCTACATTGTCTATAAAATAAATAGATCATAAAAAAGTAGTAGAACTTTTTTTATGCAGGAATGTTTACAGATTTGAAACCTTGTCATTAAAGAGCACCTATCCACCTAATTAAGCATCATTCATTCTCTGACTTGGGCGTTTACCAACTATGAAATATAACTAAAAAAAGACAAAGTATTTTTATTTATTTATTTATTTATTTATGTAATTTATTTATGTAATTTTTTGCCATCTCTCTCAGGGCTTGCTCACCGTAGACACCTGAAGACAGTGCGTACTCACCTGTCTGGTCTGGTGAACAGTACCATGTACCCTGTAGATGACCCATGTGACGCGGCTTGTGGCCTCTCTGCTGATACCTGGGCAGAACTGTATAAGAACCAAGTGGTGGAAGACTCCTTGGAAGTGAATAGACTGACTTATTATGGTGGTGTGGCACATGAAATTAGGAAGGAGGTGAAAATGCATGTACTTTGTCTTTTGCTTTTAAGCTGTGAAAATCATCATTGTTGTTATTAGTTACTGAAGTATATTGTATTGTTGTACAAATTATTGATACTTTTTATTCCCAATGACATTGTTATAAAGTTAGGCACATTGGTAGTTTACCAGAATTATGGTGTGTCTTCTCAATTCATCTAATGTTGTAGTAGCCGGCACTCATTCTGTTCTCTATGTGGGAAGTGTAAAAAGCCTTAATGGTAGAACAATTCCTGTGATTTTTTAACTAAGCACAACATATAGCAAAACAATATTCTGAAGTACAGCTAATTAAAAGTTTGTATTGCAGGTATGGCCCTACTTACTTGAACATTACACATTTGGCAGCACTCCAGAGGAGAGACAAGCACTGGACCAATCCATACAAACTGGCTACGAACAAACCATGTCTGAATGGCTTGCTGTGGAGGCAATTGTTAAGCAACGAGAAAAGGAATCTGCTTTAGTCAATCTATCGAAATACTCGTCAGGAAGCACCGATACCATTCCTTTAGTCAGGAAGGATTCCAGTTTGAGTAATGATGTTTTCTTCGATGGCAGCCTTGAGGTGGAAGAATTTCATCCCCACGAGCCACCATTGACAGAGGAGAGCTCAACCGGAGCCTCAACCCCAATGAGTGATCAGGCTGCGTTAAAATTGGTCCAGTCAGAAGTGGCTCAACTGTCAGCCAAAATCCAAGAAGAATTCACAGCAACTACATCCACGACTGCCACAGAGAACAAAGAGAAGGTGGATGACATGAGAGCGACGATACAACGACGTAATCTGAAAAGATCTGATGAACTGGACAGCACCAGCCCAGATGAGGGGATAGGGGACTCCCTCCTTCAGAGACAGAGTACCTGTGAGTCCAAGGGGACTCTGTATGACAGTTTTGACAATGACAGTGCTTGTGATCGAGGTGACGAAGACCAGGGGCCAAGTAAGGACATTGTGGTCACATACCCAGCAGCAGAGGATGTGTTCTCCAAGGGCGAGAGCACCCCTAAAGGGGAGGTCACACCTGAAGACCAAGAAGTCGCAGCGCTCAATGAAAATGCCAAACGTTCAGGCATCAGTGGTTTGTATTTTCTTCTAATTTATATAGAGTATTATTTAGTTTTTCACTTTCAATCATCAATTGAAATATTAGGTTCTTCTTTCATGATAGAGTTCACATTTTTCCATACATTCAAAGCAAGAGCTTAAGCTATCTGTAATTAAGTTTTCTTCCAGTTTTTTCATGATTGAGTGCTTTCATTATCATCTTTGAGACAAAANCTTTTAAGCTGTGAAAATCATCATTGTTGTTATTAGTTACTGAAGTATATTGTATTGTTGTACAAATTATTGATACTTTTTATTCCCAATGACATTGTTATAAAGTTAGGCACATTGGTAGTTTACCAGAATTATGGTGTGTCTTCTCAATTCATCTAATGTTGTAGTAGCCGGCACTCATTCTGTTCTCTATGTGGGAAGTGTAAAAAGCCTTAATGGTAGAACAATTCCTGTGATTTTTTAACTAAGCACAACATATAGCAAAACAATATTCTGAAGTACAGCTAATTAAAAGTTTGTATTGCAGGTATGGCCCTACTTACTTGAACATTACACATTTGGCAGCACTCCAGAGGAGAGACAAGCACTGGACCAATCCATACAAACTGGCTACGAACAAACCATGTCTGAATGGCTTGCTGTGGAGGCAATTGTTAAGCAACGAGAAAAGGAATCTGCTTTAGTCAATCTATCGAAATACTCGTCAGGAAGCACCGATACCATTCCTTTAGTCAGGAAGGATTCCAGTTTGAGTAATGATGTTTTCTTCGATGGCAGCCTTGAGGTGGAAGAATTTCATCCCCACGAGCCACCATTGACAGAGGAGAGCTCAACCGGAGCCTCAACCCCAATGAGTGATCAGGCTGCGTTAAAATTGGTCCAGTCAGAAGTGGCTCAACTGTCAGCCAAAATCCAAGAAGAATTCACAGCAACTACATCCACGACTGCCACAGAGAACAAAGAGAAGGTGGATGACATGAGAGCGACGATACAACGACGTAATCTGAAAAGATCTGATGAACTGGACAGCACCAGCCCAGATGAGGGGATAGGGGACTCCCTCCTTCAGAGACAGAGTACCTGTGAGTCCAAGGGGACTCTGTATGACAGTTTTGACAATGACAGTGCTTGTGATCGAGGTGACGAAGACCAGGGGCCAAGTAAGGACATTGTGGTCACATACCCAGCAGCAGAGGATGTGTTCTCCAAGGGCGAGAGCACCCCTAAAGGGGAGGTCACACCTGAAGACCAAGAAGTCGCAGCGCTCAATGAAAATGCCAAACGTTCAGGCATCAGTGGTTTGTATTTTCTTCTAATTTATATAGAGTATTATTTAGTTTTTCACTTTCAATCATCAATTGAAATATTAGGTTCTTCTTTCATGATAGAGTTCACATTTTTCCATACATTCAAAGCAAGAGCTTAAGCTATCTGTAATTAAGTTTTCTTCCAGTTTTTTCATGATTGAGTGCTTTCATTATCATCTTTGAGACAAAATATTTTAGAAATTGCCTGTCATCATTATGCAAATTTACTTTCAGAGAAAACCAGACATCTTTCTACCTCAAAGGAGAGTTTGGCATCTCCAGCCTCCCCAGCTTGTCATGGTGCTGCTTACACTGTAGGCCTATGTTTATAACTCCTGGAATTTTTATTGTGATAACTTTAAAAAAATAAAATAAATGCAGATTTTTTGCCAAAAGAGAAAGCTTCTGAGCAATTAAGTGACAATTGACTTCATAAAATTTGATTGGTTGTGGTTTAAGGATTTTGTCCATTTCATTTTTTTACCATTTTTTACACTATTTCCATTAAATTAATCAGGTTTGAACTATGTGGCTATAATATTGCTGCTTGTGAAGCCACGATTTCAACATAGCTCCAACTTTTCTCCTTTTCTTGAGTTGAAATATTTCCGCTTTGTAAAACTAAAAATTTTTTATTCATATAAACATATTTAATTACAGCCAGAATTACTGGACAGTGTGGCTCTCAACCTCCACCGTATTGACAAGGATGTTCAGAGATGTGATAGGAACTACCACTTCTTCACTACAGAGAACCTGGAAAAGCTGAGGAATATAATGTGCACGTGGGTTATGATTATTGCAGTTGCTTTGGGTTAAATTCTGTAACAATGAGAGTTAGAATAGTCAAGGTGATATGTGGTTAGCACCCACTGATAAAACTTCATATTTTCATCTTAGAATAGCTACAGATGTAAGCAAAAAGTAGAGACATTCTAAAAAGATTCACTGTCTAAATTGATACCTAGAGAAGTGACTGCAGCAGGAAGTGATATGTATGATGAACTATGTTGCATTAAAGAAGATGTCCTCAAGGAAATCCCATGTCCATTTTGTTTTCAGATATGTGTGGGAAAACTTGGATGTTGGCTATGTTCAAGGCATGTGTGACCTCCTGGCCCCCTTGCTAGTCATTTTTGATGATGGTAAGTAGCTCATGGTTATTTAGGGAAGTGAGTATATACATATTTAAAGCATTCTAAATGTAACCCAGAAAGGAGAGCCATAGCTGATCATTTTTTTGTGATGGCATGCTACAGATTTTTGTCTTAATATCTGTGGCTGTAAGGCCCATGCAAAGGTGAGAGGTGTGAAACAAGTCTGAAATGGACACAATGGAGGCCTGGGCAGTCTTAATTTATCTGCAAATGAAAGATATCACATCTAGGGAATTTTTGAAGGACATGATACAGACACCTGCTGAAGACTCGCCTTCCTAGATATACTGTGAAGGTGTGGGCTGTAGCATTGAAGCAGGCCAAGGTCAGCACAGACCATCCAAATTATTGTCTTAATAATATATATATATATATATATATATATATATATATGATTCTGTGATTTCAGAGGCCCTGTCATACAGCTGCTTCAAGCAGTTAATGAAGAGGATGTCTGGAAACTTCCCACATGGAGGCGCAATGGACACACACTTTGCTAACATGAGGTCACTCATTCAGGTGATAGTTTACTCTTTGCTGCAATTTGATAACCAGGAATAACTTTGCACAGGTTGACTGTTTAAGTGAAAAGTCTCATAGGTTCTATATAATTATAGTTTTCTTCTGATGTCCCTGTTATTGGACTTATTTTTTCATGGTTATTTTACCACCAGTGTGTATACTGTAGATTGTGGTTCACTACTGCTGTATCTTACGTCTTCCATATCCACCTGGGGTATATATTGGGAGCAAATCTTCCTGGCAGCTGCTCTTTATAGAATACAGAGGCTAATGTCATTTTATAGCAAGAAATGAAAACTCTTCTTAACTTATTTGCTTTGCTGTGTGTTTTAACCCCTTTAAACCAAGCTGGTAGTACTTAGAAAGTAGAAAGTAGTAATGCCTCTTAGATTCTCTTTTTTTTTCTTTGATTGAAGCAAAATAACATGCTAACTTTATAGCACAGACATTAATGAATGCATTTCCTGAAAAATTCCTCTTTAGATCCTAGATTCTGAGCTGTTTGAGCACATGCACCAGAATGGGGACTACACACACTTCTACTTCTGCTACAGGTGGTTCCTGCTGGACTTTAAGAGAGGTACTAGCTAACCAAATAACTTGGAGTGATGTTCTTTTAACTTCACAATCATTTGCAGTATTTTGTGTGTGTGTGTGTGTGTGTGTGTGTGTGTGTGTGTGTGTGTGTGCGTGCGCGCGCGCATGTGTGTGTTTATAAATGATAAAGGGACAGTGTTTTGCAGTTAAGATTTAGTCCCTATTTTGTATTTTAGAAGAGAGTTGATTAATGACTAAGTATTATAGCTCCAGTAAATATGGTGTTCAATTTTTCCCCCTACAGAACTGGTGTATGATGATGTTTTCTCAGTATGGGAGACCATCTGGTCTGCCTGCCACATCAGCTCCTCTCACTTTGTCCTCTTCATTGCTCTGGCACTGGTGGAATACTACAGGGAAATTATTATGGACAACAACATGGACTTTACTGATATTATCAAATTCTTTAATGGTGGGTGAGACCGGCATTGTAGATTATTGATGCCATTGATACTGAATTTCTGTAGTCTTTTTGATTGACTTTTTCAATATAAAAGAAATAACAGATAACTTTTTTAGCTGTTTGTCATGTATTTTTAAAAGTTAATTACCATTGCTATTTCACAAATGACAAATGTTTGACATAGTGCTGTTGTTTTTCAATTTCAGAAATGGCTGAGCACCACAATGCTAAGCAGGTGCTTGCTATTGCACGTGACCTCGTTTACAGACTGCAGAATCTCATTGAAAACAAGTGACATTTTGAAGGAGTCTACCAAACAGTCTTATGACTTAAAAGTAAAACTTTTATGCCAAAGGAAATAAAAAGGGGAAGATATGGGACCCTTTTTGAGTCAAAGTAAACACTAGACAAAAATAGAAATCCATATATTATCTGGCCAAACTGAATGAATCAGCTATACCAAAAAATGGCCATTTACATATGTTTACATCATTTAGTTTGGAAGAAAAATCACAGCCTTATCAGAATTGCTACATGAATAATATATTTGTCCTTAGAAAAGACATATGTTCATGCAGTTGCATAATTTATCTTAAAGTTATGTATGTATTTTTTTCTTCTACCCAAAAATGGCATATTTGATATTTTGGTGAAAGTCCGGTTCTGTTTTGAAGTTAATACCAACTAAAGGCCAGAACCTGTTTATTCCATTTCTCATTTTCGTCCAGTGCATCATGTGTTGACTTTTACCTTTTTTCATCGCTTAAACTTTGAGCAATTAACTTTTTCCCAAAGTACAAATTTTATAATGAAAATAATTTTAAATTATGACCTATAGGGACAATTTATACCAGCTTTAGATTTCTTCTTTTGAAAAGAACTTTTACATTTCTTGACTTTTGTCAATTACAAAGTGGTGCTGGCAGTTGAAGGTGTAAAGTAGAAAAAAAGTATGATGGACTGGCTTTAACAGTTTTAATTTATTGGTTTTTGTGGTATTCAGTTTTATCTATAAATCTTCAAAATACTTAACTTCAGAGGAATGTTCTCAAGATATATATAATTTAATGTCTATTATATTCTTCATGACCATTATATAGGTTGTAGATGTTTATCCTTCATTGATAGACATCTTTTCTCTAATTAGTTGTAACATTCAGTATTTGAAGATGGTTCATAAAAGTAATGTACAAATAGTGGAAAACATACAGTAATATGTAGGATATGAGCTTACAATGCAAAATAGAACCACTTGATAATTTGCCATTCTCAACTTGTAAAAATAGTCTTGGTATTTTAATTATGATCCATTTAATTCTCAATGGGAATATTTTAACTTTCATTTATGAAGATCTGTAACCCACAAATGTGCACGTTTTAAACAATAAACTTTTAATAATAAAACTTCAAAAGCACATTACTGCCACTCTTATTATGTAGATATTCATTTCTGTCAACATACTTAATATAAGCTATGATAAATTCTGTATAGTGATGTCTTGTGGTTTAGTGTTACAAATCTACAGTATATATTATTGTACATTCACGTAGTAGATTTTGGACTGTGATGTTATAAGTCGATAAGGAATCTAAACCTCACTTAATTAGTACCACCAGCGTGTACGCTGGCGGTACTCATGGTTTTAGTCCCGACCCGTCTCGTCCGGCTCCGCCGGCTCCGCCGGCTCTGCCGGCTCCGTTGGCTCCGCCGGCTCCGCCGGCTCCGTAAGCTCCGCCGGCTCCGCGTACTGGCGCCGGATACAAGTCACCGTTACCGCTTCTCCTCCTAGACCGCAAGGACCCCTGTCCCCATCTCTTGGATTTAGGTCACATATAACCTCAACTTGAACCCCCAGGTTTTTTTGTCTCAGTCGGTACATTGACCTGGGCGTGACGCTCCTTGAAATGCACCCTTGTCAAAATTTTTGAAAATTCAATGCCAATTATCTACCCTACGGAAGGAATTATGGGAAAATTTTCTACAGACGGCTTTCCAAAAGTCATATGTGTAGATTTCAAATATGCCCTTGGATTTGACCTTTGACCTTTATTTCAAGGTCAAACGGGCCAAAATTTTNTGATAAGGAATCTAAACCTCACTTAATTTTTAAGTGAATTAAAACATGGTTTTATTGAAAGGAGGAATAAAGGAAGAAAATGTATAATTTCTGTAATGTAGAAGGGCAATATAATATATAAATATTGTTGATGTTTGATATGTAAACCACATATGGTATTGTATTTTTTGTCAGCAAGGTGCTGTTTAGTTCATTGGTGCATTTAAAAATTTATTTTTTTGGAAAATTATGTTATTTATATTTTTTATGTGTATCTGTATTTTGTAATCCCGAGTTTTAACTACTGCGTTGGGCTACCTTCTTCATTTTTAAAAGTCCACTCCTTTTGTCTGAACTTCAACGGCAATTGATTGAAGATTGCAGTTCTATAGAACCATGAAATACAGCATACTAGATGCCCAGTTGTAATTGGTGCAATAAACTGCAGTGTGTGGAGATAAAAATGAAGAAACTGGCACGCCGCAGACTTGTAGCTCAGGGTATGTTTTATGTAATATATAAAATGTTGTCTTCACACTTGTCATTCAACATCAGTCGGTGCAAAGTTGAGATATGCATTATTCTCAACCTTTCTACCAATAAAATTTTCAAAAACATGAAATTGTGACAAATCTAGTTATTGGAAGTACGTGCAATATCTTACACAGATTATACCAAATTGCTATCTGCATGTCAATGTAGATATGATGTTCCATGTCTTTTAGAAGAACACGAGCCTCTGTAGGAATGTAAACATACAGTGCTGCTATTAAAACATGAAAAGCGAATGGTTTTGTTTTATTTCATTGAAAACATGAATCAAGTTTCCATATGCTGTAATACAATTTCTCTACAAAATAAGAGCTCCGTTGCACTCTAAAAAGAGTTCAAGTACACAAATCCAGACACTGCTATTCTTTGTTCCATTAAAGTTATCTTCAGAAAGTTTCACTTCCTCAACTCTTAGAGCTGTATGACTTATGTACATTTTAATTCTTATACATATTTCAATCTAGGTAAATTGCCTCCATCCTAAAGTTCACCTTTTCCAAGTACATTAAATTGAATCACTATTTTGTCTCTGATGGAAAAAGTAACAGGTTGTGCTTGAGACACTGTCTAACATAGCACAGGTACAATAATTCAATGAAATGACCATAGTTGCCTCCATCAACATGTTTGATGAAGAAATAATTTAAAGTATAACTGCTGACAAAAATGCAAAGACGGTAACAACTCATCTATGTAAATAGACTTTCCCCTGATTTTCTTTGAAAAATAAGCTATTTGTTTCACTTATAATTCTACAGACTTACAATCTAAAGAGAGAAAACTGAGCTACTACTATTTTTTTGATATTCACACAACATCATTTAAAGTGAAAGATGATTAACATTTCCATTATCTTTAGCATGACTTGGTTTATAACACTATCCGTGTTCATTAAAATATTCCCAATGCAATAGATGAAACCAAGATGATTTTATTCTGTGTAACAAGTCTTACTTTAATAAGTAAATCTCAACTGCATATGGGTCAGAATGGCTCTGCCTAGCAGAACAGGACAGGACAAAACAATCTTACAATCCTAAAATATTCATCACAGTATCTCCCTATCGAGTCATGCACTTGTAGAAGTTTCATGCCTCTTGCAATAAATAAAAGATCCCATTTTATATTTCAAAATAGTACAATAAACAATCACTTTACATGCCACACTGGCACCATGATATAAAACTACTGTCCAGACTAGTTCATTTAAAATGTTACTGAAAAATTGACAATGAAACACAATGACATTTAAGGTGCTGACTATTTATAAGGACTTCTATTTTGATGAACAAATTGAAGAATAACTTTAGGGAAGAAGTTTATCTTTTAAGCCTTATCAATCAAGAAGCCAGCTAACAGAGAGTACAGACAGCTTATTTCTGCTTAAATATTAGGAAAAAATAACCTGTGCACTAAACAACTTTACCTGTAAGAAAATTCTGCATGTGCCACCAAGGAATTTAAAGGAAAGGAATTTTTTCATCAATAGATTGTTGAAAAAAATATGGAATAATTGAATCTGGCCCAGTTTGACCTGCATTTTAGGACAATGAAAAAACACAGAGTGAAGCAAAACCAGTTAATTTTGTAACAAGAAATATGCACATTTCTGACTTGCGTGCAGATGATGGCAATATGTACTAACAAAACTGTCCGTACATAAAATATGACTAAAGAAAATTTATATTTTCTCCTCCAACACTATACTTCCACATAAATTAAACAACATACATTCTTTGTGCTCCCACACTCAGACATTTGTGCAAATGCCAGAAGTGTATAATAATTATGCAGCATTGGGTGTTAATTCTGGGATGTTGTTGCCACAGCAATGGTCGTGGGAGGATGAGAAGATCCAGATGTTGATACGACATTGGCAACAAATACTGGTTTCACCATGGGTTGACCAGCAACCACAGGTGTTTGCAACTGCAAAGGGGATTGCAACCCCATGATGGGAATGTGGGTCTTAAACAATGTGTGATTCATCAAATGGTTCTGCTGTAAAGGTAACGAAGACATCATGGTGACGGGGATGACCGTCTGCGTCATTCCAGGTGACAACTGGGCAATTGATGACATGACTGGATGAAGGGCGGACACCTGCGACACTGAATTGACTCCTGGTATCACTGGCACAGCCGGGCTGTTATTATTGGTTGTTGTTGACGCTTGTGACACTGTGGAGGAAATGACGTGGGGCACAGTAGTGGCCATGGGAAATGGCGTCCTAGCAATGGCCTGCGTCAAGGCTGTAAGGGCAGACAGTTGTGTGCCATGAGGAACAGGGTGCACCACTGACGCATTCAACGGTGCAGTGATGATATTTTTGACTACAGACACATGTTGAGCCGCAGGCTGCTGGTTTGAGGATCCTGTGATGGCTGCCTGAGGCTGACTATTCGACACCGCTGCCACCGAGGTTGCAGCTGGTGCTGTAACACTGGTAGCTGTACTCGTTCCCGTTACAACAGATACTGTTCTAGCTGTTGATGAGGTTCCAGCACTAATATTACTACTACTGCTTAAAACTGGGAGTTCCACTGTAGACGTTGGAGTCAGTAATACAGGTAATTGTTTAGTGGTTATGACATTGAAAGGACTGGACGAAGGACGTGTGCTCGTAGTCACTACATTGCGTAACACTGACACATGTGGAATTCCCTGTGAGCTGACAATTGTCTGTCGTACATGTGGCATTCCTACAGGTCGTATCATCTGCGGTGGGGCTCGCAAGCTGTTAGACAGCACACTACCAGTTGTGGGCATCACTGAAATGGAAATAACAATGATTAACAGAGTTTTGTTTTACTTTTAGTCTGAAATTTTTATGTGTTACATGAAAACAATTTGACAAAATTGGGCAAATTGATTTTAAACAAGGGTGAAAAAGTTTGTAAATTTTTTCCAAATATTTATTGGAAATTTATTTGTGTTACCCTGAGCTTTAATTCAAAAGTGTTCCAGCTTCTTCATTTTCAAATCTCCATATATACATGCTTATCAGACTCGGACTAAGTTTACTTTTTACCAATAACAGTGCCAGTGGAAATCGTGCAAGACAGTCTAAAACAAGGCTTTCAGCAATGCGTGACATCATACAATAGTACAAAATGTTCGAGAATCCATGAGATTAACTTTTCAGCAATAAGGGTGAAACTTGATGTGCTGGGAATGGCATCTTAGAAAGCAATACATATGTGGCACACAAAACATGAAGAATTTGTACTGTTGTGCAATGAAAATAACCACATTGAACTTCTGGAAGTTTTTTTGTCATTGCTGGAATCCATTCTGTATTTTAGTTTTATTTTTGACCTCACTCTCCTCCAAATCTCATAAAATCAGACTTGATTTAAACCTATGTTGTCAAACTTTGGACTCGTAAGATTTCCATTTAATGATATGAGGATGTGGTTCCATAAAAGGGCAAGTGACACAGTAGATAAGCCCACTAAGTGGTGCCACCACAGAGACCAGAGTAAGTTTGAGCAGGTTGTCTTAACATGCAGATAGATGGCCAAACATAAATCATGTTACCACTGGCATTTTTGAGGAATGTGCATATTAAGCCTTTAATTGCTACTAACATGACTGTACAGAGAAAATCTCTTTGATAGCTGCCATGTCTACAACATATCTTTGCTTATATGAGCCCAGTGTCACAATGTCTACATGCTTTTCAAAGGTAAACATCAGACACAAAGAAAAGTGTTTACCATGGGTTGAAATAATCCTCTGCAACTGTGAATGTTGCTGCTGCTGTTGCTGCTGTTGGTGGTGTTGCTGTAATGCTGTCAGAGCCTTCTGCTGCTGCTGTAACTGAACTCTGTGAGTGATTGCCTGATGCAAGATCTGGGTTACCGGAGTCTTTGTGATTCCTTGGGGTTTTCCAGCTGGAGTAATGGTTGATATCACAGTTGATCCTTTGACTGAGGTTGACACAGCTTGAGCTGTTGTTACGGGTGCTGCTGCTGCTGTGGTGGTGGTGGGCGGTGACACTGCTACTGCTGCTACTGAATTAGGCACCACCTGAACAGGAGCCCTTTTAACTGCAAAAAGTAGAAATTATGTATTAGTTTATCCTGATACTAAATACAGGCATACATAAGAAATGAAGAAAGTCAGTATGTTGCAAACTTTGAATAAAAATACATCTTGCTCCCTGACATTGTAAGACAACAGTTAAAGAGTGCCACTGAATTTAATATAATATCAACATCACACCAGGGGAAGTCTAACAGTATGTAGTACAAAGTCTTAAGAAAGCATCAACAGTAGTCTTCTGAAAGGTGAGGCCACTATGTTCACAAATTTTTTTGTGTGAGCTCACAGGAAGAAGCAGTGCAAACACAACTTATCTCAACTAAACATCATTTTCCTACTGCAGTTGAAGTCAAACATAATACTCACTTATACTAAGAGTTTGTCCACTAGGTATCTGAACTGTAGTGGTTGTCAACTTGTCTGCAGCCTCCTCTTCCTCTTCTTCATCACTCAGAACTTGACTAGCTGTTTCTGTCAGTGGCAGCACAAATATCAAAAGAGGCTACTTTTCATCTGCTATTACTTTCTTATAGCAATTCACATTCAAAATTTTGTTAATAACCATTTCTCTCCGTAATTCCATCCTTATTTTGAATCTTTCACTATTCTGGATCTTTCATACATTTTACAGTAACTGGCATGGCAGTAAACAGCAGCGCTCCTCTGCTGGATGCTGCCTTTAAAATCAATACGTAATCTAGGAATCAAACTTACTTTATTAACTTGGAAACACGACAACTCACCAGTGGCTGTAGATGTAGAATTAGTTTCCTGATCTTCTGTGGTTATCCAGTGGTTCATGTCTACCTCTATGTTCATCTGGTGAAGATCTCTTTTTAGTGTGGCTATTCGCTCTTGAGCAATTATTTTTTCTTTGGCTAGCCGCTGCATTTCTTGCTCATGAGCTTTCTCCTTCCTTTTCAGGGTCTATGAATATCAACAAACAAATGAACATTTGTATTTATGTATGTTTCTCAAAAAACTATGAATATCAACAAACAAAAGGACATTTGTATTTATGCATGTTTCTCAAAGAAACATCACTTATTGTTTTATCATTACTGCCAAAGATAAACCAACTGAGTTGGGAAAGGTCAGAAAAACTCAGTTTATATAGGAACAAGTATTAATTTTTAAATCCTGTACACATAAAAACTACATGTGTAATTTAGAAGGCCAATTCTGATTTAAAAAATATCAGTTACATTCAGACCATTGAATCTTAATACTAAATGGATTAATTTTTACTTCAGCCAAGGTTATATATTCACTTCCATTTGTCTGTTATTCTGTTTATCACAAGCATAACTCAAAAAGTTATGGGTGGATTTTGATGAAATTTTCAGGATAGGTCAGAAATAGGCTTATTAAAACTTTGGTGGCGTTGATCTATTGTGCAATGTAAGTAGTCTCAACTACCACAATTTATCAGTCTAAAGTCCTTGGTGGAGGTCTCTGTACTCTGTGAGTGCCTTTAAAGTTTCAAATATCATGCCAGATTAAGTTGATCTAAGTTGATTAACTAGAACTTAAAAAATAGTTCAAACTTAAAGTCACATCTGGGCTTGCCATAAATGATTTCCTATATGTTAAACTGAAACTATGGGTGTATCTCATCTTGTTTAGGTGACAGTGTAACCATCTTAATTCTCTAACACGCCTCCTTGAGTAGCAAGGGGGTTATTAACTCTTGTATATGCTCGGTTTAATTACCCCCCAGCAGCTTGAGGCAACACGTCAGACATTTAAGCCGTTTACAGTGATTGCACTAAGGGAGAATCTGTGCGGCAGTTACATCGATCCAGTTAGTACGATGAGTCTATGATCTGAATGTTCCCTAAGACCCCAAGAAAAATTAGGGGAAAAAGCACATTTCATCGTTAAAAAAAGGGCATGGGTCAAATTCAGAAATGAAAATAATACATAACAAAGAATTAAACAAAATTAAATTAAACTGTTAAATTTACTCTTTGCTGGCTCAAAAGCATTTTTAAAAAATCTGACGGGTTTAAACATGTCCTTCTTTGTTGCAGATTTTAATATCTATTATAAGTGTTCATATATTACTATATAATCAAATAAAATGATTTACAGGGTCAAAGGAACAGATAACTAAAAAAAAAAAAAAAAACCCTGAAACTTTCTTGTGGCAGCAGCTGAATACTTAAATCCAAAGATATGAATGTTATGGATATTCACATTACTCCATAAAACATGAATTAAAATGCAGCCAATTTTATGAGATGGGCAAGCAAGGGCTTAGCAAACATACCTTTAATTTTGGCTTCCTGTTTTTCATTCTCAAATTATGCTCTATGCAACATTGTAACTTAATTAATACCTTGACTTCAATACAGACGCTCTAGGTAGTCACTCTAATGATTGTAATTACAGCTTAGTTGGAAAACCTGCCCATTATCTTTTCCATGTCTCCTTAATGAGTTATTTACTGTGTGAGCCGAACCCTTGCTGTATACGTTGATACCAACCCCTATTTTATATGTATCAACTGGTATTTATGAACTATATTTACAATGAGCTATATATGTCTGTCTAAAACACTCCAAACAAATGCCTGAAATGATTAATAGTAAAAATTTGAAAATAAATTGAAATACTAAATGATTTCTAAATATTTAGGTCAAATTGTTATTTCAACCAATTAATGTGTAAATATTTCAACCAATGTCACACTCTGCTATAAAAGTCTAGATATCTACCTGTATGTATCTTAGAGCACTCCTGAGGATACTTAAATTGGAAGTCTTTTTCTCATCTATGTTTGGCAACTGCCCTTTCAAAGTCTCAAAGCATTCTTTCAAATGAGCCCTCCTGAAAAAATAATGTAAGTTTTTAAACTCTGTTTTTTTTTTTCAACAAACAGAAAGAATGAGTTCTGAATCTTGAGCTATATTTTAGTCCTGTAAGTAACCCATCAGATTTCATTTGGATCACACTATATGCTCACGAGGAAAAGTTAAGTTGTAGCTTATATACCAAAGACATAAAAACATTTTGTCACAAAAAATTAAAAACGATGTTTAAAACCTATGATAATACAAACAACAGGTAATGTTTTTCTTCATATTTAGAAGCTTGTAGCATGATTTCTCTTAATGGCAGTATTTCACAAGTGTAAAGATGAGTGCTTCTTTAGGGCACCGCAAAATGAAATGAATTTGTTAACCTCACTTTGGTGTAGAACACTTTTGTTGTGATATTCACTTCTTGTAATGTAAGGGATCAAATTTCTATTGCTCTCATACTGGGGGACATTTAGAGGGAAAATTAATTCCATTTTCCACTTCTCTGAAATCACAGAGTGTGCATAATCTTTCAGTTTCCAGAACAGGATGAGGTAAGGTGGGCTCTTCAGTTTCAGTTATCTAAGACCAAACGTGATGGTTGCATAAACATTACATTAAAATTGGGACAAAAATGTGACATCCACCTCACCCAGCATATTTTAATTATCACCGATGTACACTCCACGAAGAATGGCAATGGACATCTTTTTTCCATCTTGACAGAACACAAAACACTCTTTCATGCGTTGTTAATTTTCACAAAATGCTTTACAGATCTTCGTATCAGGAAATGTAATGATCACACAAGAAAAACAATATAACAACACGTGGACATGGCAGCACGTGTGGCCTTTATGAATAAATAACTGACGAATGGTTCGCGTGCACTGCCGCTACATTAAAAAAGTTCCTCGTATTTACCTATTTTTCTCCAATTTATTGTGCACTTCTCTTGTGCCAGCTCTGAAATTTAGAAAAAACACACAATCGTTACACCATAAACTGTATTTACAACATCAAATTATCGTTGTGGATTCGTTTTCTCATACTTCAGCATGAAACCAAAGCCAAAAATAGACAATACAAATTTACATATCGAACACTTACCCGCCCGCTCGCCGCTTCTCTTTGCCATCTTCCGAAGGACTATGTATGGAGTTTTCCCCATAATCGGAGCCGCCAGAATTATCTGCGTTAGGTTGAGAGTTTGGAGACTTTGCATACTGATGGAATTCTTTGCTTGATTCGTTTTCTGAAAGAAGACGTGTCCTCGACCTAATTACTTATGCCAGTTGTTTATGAACAGTAAATTAGGTCATGCATTTTACACCACGCATACAGATCAATTGTAAACAATCTCGCCTTTAGTTTCTTACTTAACTATCCTATAGCTATCGCTGTAAATTCAACAGCATGTTTAACTTGTAAAAACGTACTAAATATCGTTCTAATACTTCAAACATCTCCAGCGTGCGTGGACTACATACCACGTGCATTAGTATTTGATCGCCACTCCAAATATTCTGCTGCCTCCAGGAGAGTCTCCAGACTCATCTTCCCTTCTTTAGGCGTTTGTGCTTAAACCTAATACTCCTAGGTATCCCGGGTAACTTTAGGATGAAAAACCGATAAAAATTGAGTTGATTAATACCCGTTTTTTCAGCCTTTAGGAAAAGGCAAGACGGTCAAAAATACAAAGCTACGCGAAGGTGATCATCCCACGTGGGATATGATTGGCACCTGTCAAATTCTGACCAATAGAAGCATGACAACATACGTCATCACACACCACGTTGGAAATCACATGTTATGTTTTGGCTGTTCCAAACAAATGCTTACACCCATTTGTTCAAGTCACTTGTTATTTGTATATGTCATATAGACTCTTTTACAAGTTTTCTATCTTCGGATGTGTTCAGCAATTCTTACAAAAGCTGGTTGTAATAGTTGCTTCTCAGACTGCCCTTACAACTTTAATTACTTAATTTTCGATTTAGGGTGGGCGTGGCACAAGTGTATCTAACTAACGCTTGAAATCGCGAGAGAATTGGAGACCACGATAGTTGTCAGTCAATGATGGCGGTGCAGGTGGAAAGTGTAACATAGGTACGCAAAATGTGTCCCCTTAGATCAGACTGAGTGGAAAGCAAAAGCCGTTTCTATTCCGACTAGTGTAAGTGTGAAGTTTTATACGCTTAGCATGTTTACATGTTGCATTTGCTAGAAAACAAAAGATGATTTGAGAAAATCTGTTCTGTTTATTTCCACTGGGCATTACTAGAGTCCAATAACTAATATTAGATTCTTTTACGTTATTAATTACTAGAACTTAGAAGTAATAGGGCATCCAACATCGAGACATTTAAAACTACTTACGTGTACTACATACACAGACAATGCAGTCATGGGCAACTCTTTTTGTCACCAAGTAATGATTTCATCATTTATATGAGCCACGTTGTTCCGAGTGATACTGATAGTGATACAGTGATAACAACTTTTGGTTTGTACTTCATTTTTTGTTTTAGAAGATATTTTGTGAGTCTGCCTTCGTCTCTGAGAAGAGACAGAGTTGTGCATATTTCAATAACTGGCAAGTACATTTGCAGTAGGCGTTTTGCTTCAAAGCGTGGGGATTGTTTCAAATATTTGCACTTTTGAAGATAAAGTGTGTTATCTCGTCCTGGCAATCCCTTATAATCTCATGTTTGATACAGTACAATTGGAACTAGAATGATAGGGGATTATCAGTGCCACTACTTTGTGCTAGATGGCAGTACTATGGTGGGACTTCAGTTGCTCCCCTTAATGACATCACTTTACTTTTAACCAAAACTTCAAAAATAAACCATCATCTACAGAATATTTTTAAAAAATACAATGGTCATGAATTACTCTTTTAATATTCTAGGTACAATCCAACAATGGCGATGATAACACCTTATGAGAATGCCAAAGGATTTGTGCTGGGCCGTCCTCCGCTGGTTGTGTTTATGGTCTGTTTAGCAGCATTTGCTGTGGTTTTACTTTCTCTGGCAGTGTACATGAAGACAAATGAAGTAGAAAATACAGATGTTCAAATAGTAAGTAATCTCATCTGAACAGAAATTTTTTAGAAATCTTTTCTCTGATAAAGCAAAAACGTTATCGGGCCACTTGTGCATCAAGTAAAGTTAATAAATTTAACTTTCTAATCTGAACACAATAACAGTTATTGTCTTCAGATTAGAAAGTTAAATTTTTTACCCTGCTTCTTTATGTAATTTTCTTATATTTGTTCAATAGTTTGGTACAATTTGTTAAATGGTTCTTTTTCTTGTCAGATTGCTTGGATAACAAATAAATCAGTAGAGTTGACCCTTGGGTAACAAATCTTTTCCTTGACTCTTATTTGGGAACAAATGACCACAAACTGAGATATTTGAAATCAGGCTTAGGTTAAGCCATCTACTCTGGTTCCCATTTGATTTGGCTGTGTTGTATTGCTTGGTGCAATCAGGATCATTAACACAATCCAGATGCTTCTCTATTTTACTCTTTGTTTTGACACCATGTGACATACTGGTACACTTCAACCCAGAGCACCATCACCAGCTTTTCACTATCTTGGTATCTATAATAAGGCTTATCTTATGCTGTATTATGCAAAATAATAATAATAATAATAATAATAATAATAATACATTTTTATGTNTTTTTGAAGATATTTTGTGAGTCTGCCTTCGTCTCTGAGAAAGGACAGAGTTGTGCATATTTCAATAACTGGCAAGTACATTTGCAGTAGGCGTTTTGCTTCAAAGCGTGGGGATTGTTTCAAATATTTGCACTTTTGAAGATAAAGTGTGTTATCTCGTCCTGGCAATCCCTTATAATCTCATGTTTGATACAGTACAATTGGAACTAGAATGATAGGGGATTATCAGTGCCACTACTTTGTGCTAGATGGCAGTACTATGGTGGGACTTCAGTTGCTCCCCTTAATGACATCACTTTACTTTTAACCAAAACTTCAAAAATAAACCATCATCTACAGAATATTTTTAAAAAATACAATGGTCATGAATTACTCTTTTAATATTCTAGGTACAATCCAACAATGGCGATGATAACACCTTATGAGAATGCCAAAGGATTTGTGCTGGGCCGTCCTCCGCTGGTTGTGTTTATGGTCTGTTTAGCAGCATTTGCTGTGGTTTTACTTTCTCTGGCAGTGTACATGAAGACAAATGAAGTAGAAAATACAGATGTTCAAATAGTAAGTAATCTCATCTGAACAGAAATCTTTTAGAAATCTTTTCTCTGATAAAGCAAAAACATTGGTTATCGGGCCACTTGTGCATCAAGTAAAGTTAATAAATTTAACTTTCTAATCTGAACACAATAACAGTTATTGTCTTCAGATTAGAAAGTTAAATTTTTTACCCTGCTTCTTTATGTAATTTTCTTATATTTGTTCAATAGTTTGGTACAATTTCTTAAATGGTTCTTTTTCTTGTCAGATTGCTTGGATAACAAATAAATCAGTAGAGTTGACCCTTGGGTAACAAATCTTTTCCTTGACTCTTATTTGGGAACAAATGACCACAAACTGAGATATTTGAAATCAGGCTTAGGTTAAGCCATCTACTCTGGTTCCCATTTGATTTGGCTGTGTTGTATTGCTTGGTGCAATCAGGATCATTAACACAATCCAGATGCTTCTCTATTTTACTCTTTGTTTTGACACCATTTGACATACTGGTACACTTCAACCCAGAGCACCATCACCAGCTTTTCACTATCTTGGTATCTATAATAAGGCTTATCTAATGCTGTATTATGCAAAATAATAATAATAATAATAATAATAATAATAATAATAATAATAATACATTTTTTATAAAAAGCTAAGGACAAACAATATTCATGGTATGCATATATGAACACTGCTCAATGGAAACGTGATTGCAGGAGTTGGTGCACAAGTTCATTGGCATTCCCCGAAAGTAGTGTATGTAAGCCAACTAAAAAAAACCAGCTTTAACTTACAAAAACCAACTTTAAAAAGTACCACCAGCATGAGTGCAATGTGCCAGATGACCAAGTATTAACATTAGACAAATTTGGATAAATTACAGTAACGTATGTTATATAGTGACAGTAAGGGGGCATTCCCATAGATTTTAGATTGATCTATCCCCATGGGGAGTCTCACTAGATTACTGTCAGATAATCTGGTTTAATACCCCATTCACACGACAGTTGCAAAAATGCGCATTTCTGTAATCCGAATTTTTCGTGAGGAATTCGATTCGGTATTGCGTTCACACACGCTAAGCGAAACAGAATCACACGTTGAAAATTTCAGGTTTAACTTCCTGTTTTGAACACTCGTGCATGGGCCGCACTGGAAATCTTAAAATACCAACAAAAATTTGTGACGACAAATGCAACTCAAAAGACATTCCAGCATTCTTGAGAAGTATAAGATGGCAAAATAAGTTTGTTTCCTCATGTTGTAGTGAGTGGTGACCTTCAAATATACGTTTGGTGCAATCGCTAATGTAATAAACAAGCGTTCATAGATACCCGTACTTATCTGCACACATGCGCAGTAAGGTCTGTACAGGTGTCGATTCCGGTAAGTTATTCGGATCGCGCTTAGAAATCCACCTCGCTTGCAGGATTTTGAAAATTCGCATTACAGAAATCCTCTTACGTTCACACTACTGCATTTATTCGAATTGTGACCTAATTCGCAACTTATCCGGATAACTGAGCGTAGTGTGAATGGGGTATTAATGTCTGTCCCGCCTACTACAAGCTGTAAGGGGGTAATTAACTTTTGTGCCCACTCAGCTGACAGCTATTTAGAGTGAACCCCTAGGGAGTTAGGTTGATCTAGTTGGATCGATCTAATCTCTGGGAATGGAGTCTAAGATTTTCATTTGGTAATAAAGAGACCAAGCAAAGTCTTTTTTTCCCTCAAGTCACTGAATGCAGTTACACTACACCGAAAAAGTGGATATTGTCATTAATACAACTTTACCCTTTACCAACAAAAACAAGTGTATAGTGATCATCATGGTGTTAGTGGCAGATCTTTTGTATTGCACAATCTTGCTAAGGTTCATTTGGTAATGCAGACACTAATATAGCAAAGTAACAACATTTTTCTGACATTTTTTAAATTTTTTCATTAATACCAATGCAAATTTGTTGAAAAAAAATATTGAATGATAGATTTATACTGGAGACAACAAAATGATCGATTACTGCTACTGTGCAAAAGTTTTGATCAGGTACATGTATCTGTGCTGCATTATAGGGGGAAAAGAGAAGAAAGGAAGTGATGTCAGTGTCATGTCACCCAATAGAATTGAAGAGCAGACTAAATTTCAGCAGGTGCTCAAAATAGACACAGTTTACCAGTCAAACACATTAAATTATAAAATTTAGTATAGAACGTGTCTCTGTTGGTAAACTGGGAATGTGTGCAAAAACATTTATTATAAAATTATTGATAAAGCATTTCTGCAATCTGTTGGATAAAATGCAACAGAACATATGAAAAATGCTTTTAAAACACCCTTAGGGTTTTATAATGTTATACCCCCATTTCAACACAGCAAAGTTTTTCTGGCACAGCCTACATTATGCTGGCATATTTCTTGGGGCCAGTGCTAATGTGTGCAGACTGCATATATTTATTTAGCTTCAGTTGTCAGTGCACATAGTTAACTTGAATATTGATAAACCTGGTACCATGAAAAATACCAGTAGAGTATATGGCTAATATCATTTAAGTGTCTGTTTCAGCTGCGCCTCTGGCTTTAAGTTGGTTGTTCAAAGTCAAAGAGGTCAACTGAAGACAGAAAGTGAAGCTTATAATACATTCACATTACACATTTCAGTCATTTCATCAAATAGTGCACATAATGCTTTTAAAGAAACAAACAGTAGACAAACAGATATAAATATAAACCACAGCACAAAAGTTAGGGATACTTGATAGATGGTTTGATAAAATAATGACACACAATTTCTGTTTTCAGAATTGGAACACATTCCTCAAAAATTTTGCTGAAAATGATTTTTGCATGGATGAAAACTTCACAGTCCCAACAACAGAACCCACACCAGTAGCCAACTCCCTTTCATCACCTAACAATTCACCAGAAAGGACTAGGTAAGGAAAATATAATGTGTTGGACCCCAGCTATTCCAAGGGTGATAAAACATCTACATGTATAATATGATTGATGTGGCACTGCTGGCATTGGTGTCTTTTCTGCCTTTTTGAAAAGATGGAGGTGGACTACTACAGACTGAGAGATTATGAGAAATACATTAAGAATTTTGGTAAAGGAGAAAGAGAACTTTTTCAGGACTTCCTTAAACTTGAAAGTTTTAATGAGCCTTAAATGTCCACGGTCACAAAAATTCATAGCTACTTAGTTGGTGATCTATAAAGTATTTAAGTAGAACTACAATTGTTTTGATTGCAAGATTTTTCATTGAAGTCTTTACATAACTGTGGCCAATGGTACAATCATTGTTTGTTTGAAATTTGACCTGTAAGTTTGCTTGTAAAATTCTATATTCCGTAATTGCAATTTTATGGTTTACTAGTTGGTCCAGCATTCAAAATACCACTCTTATTACTTTTCCATTATATGATACTGCCTTCCCCCACTTCCAGGCACCATAAGAAGTTTGCCTTTTAAAATAGAGGTTAACAATATCATTTTAGAAATTATTCTGTGGCCTTATGGTTGACTGTGTGGCCCACCATGGACTTCACAAGGTTTCACTACAATCACTCCAGATTACTAGCCACGTTGAGGGGGGAGGATTTGGGATTGAAAGGTACTTGAAGTTAAATTTTTTAAAAATGAAAACATTCATGCTTAATATGTGGATGTAAATTGCATGTATTTTGATTAAACACCAAGTTATTGACAATTATTAAGTTTACGCCATTATGTTTTTTGTTATAAAAATTAAAAGGGACTGAAAAAATTTGATTTGATGTGTTTGACTGTGAAGATGGCAAGCCTTGCAAATTACCTTCCAACAATATACAATATTATCTTACTTTTGTCTGTTGTTTTACAAGACAGTTTTGCTAGGCAATAGTCTTCTTTGTCTTATGGTAAACAAACCACAATTTATAGTTGCCTTTAATTTTGTAGCAGTTGAAGGTACTTTGATTTTATTTTAGGTCATTTAGTGTCTGAGGAAGTAAATGTGACATTTGAATTACCATTTGACTGGAACCTTACTAACTGCCACAGTGCACGGAAGTGCGATTCAGTCAGACTGCGCACTTGTGTGTATTTTCAAGCAACTGCTCAAGTCTTTCCTGGTTATAGGTGAGATCTTCAAATAGTTCCTCAGTTTTTGTGCATAGTTGTGAATTAGTTTTGGTTCAGATCATAATATCATATTTTTCCCATTAGTGGAAACCATGTTATGCTGATTTCTCCAAAGTAAGGCACAGAAAAATGTTATGCAACACCATCAAGACGAAACATCACTGTTAATCGGTTTTCTGTCTAGTTATGTATTATAATCATGCCTTTTGTATCCAATACCCAGCTGGTGGTACATACCTTGTAGGTGATATCATCTCTCTGATCTTCAAGGTTTCGAAAGCATTTCACCGGGGATGCTCATTAATTTGATGAATGCACATTTGTTCTTCAGGGCACCAGAGACGTGTATTCCTTTAAATGAATCAAGCCAAGGCCCCTATTCTCATATGACAAGTAGGAAGGACAATACTTTCTTTAGACATTTATGGTGCAGTCAGCATCCCAAAATAGAAGTGCAATATGAATGGGATCCAACTCTCAACATCATGCTGTCCATAGTAAGTATGTGTTATTATCCCCACAAAAAACTCATAAAGAAAAGAAAAAAAAATTGTTCAACTTGTCAAAAAAAAAAAAATTAACAGCTCACATTTTATTTACTCCATGTTATTTTGTATATTTCAGGGTGATAGATCAGTGATTAACTTGCACCTGATGCACACAAGTTACTTCCTATTTGTCATGGTCATCACAATCATGTGTTATGCTATAATTAAAGGGAAACCAAAAAATAAAACTATACAAGTAGTTAATGGAGGGTCAGTTTTGTAGGTGCCAGAGGGTAAGTATAACCAAATTAATATAGAGAAAAAAATTGAAAAGTCATTCATAAGTATTTTTTTTTCATAATTCAGTATGCACTGTTGGTAAACATGATTAGCAATCCTACACTGCCAAGTTTTCTAAAATTGCTCTTCTGAGACAAAATGGCTGCAGTTGTAATAAAACTTAATTTAAAGTGGACATTGGAAACCTGTTTAGTTAATATGTAAAGACTGCATACTTGTTGAGTTTTTGTGTCATTATCAGAATAGATAGGAACATCTTACACTACCCTTTGTCATAAAAAAATGATTTGTCGATTCCCATTTAAATATGGACACAGTAGCACATATCTATATAAACAGTTATTTTTAGCTGGATTGTTGAAAATGTGTGTACTATAATAGTACTATAATAGTACACACATTTTCAACAATCCAGCTAAAAATAACTGTCTACATACTGTTAGATATGTGCAACTGTGTCCGTATATAAATGGGAATAGTTATGTAAAACTTTTGCCACCACATGGTCTATGTGAGAATCTTAAATTTTATCACTGCTGATCTGGAACATGTAAGAAATATCATGAGGGATACTTGAATTTTATCCATTGCTTTTTTAAATAAAAGTATGTCACAATGTTTGTTTTTGCAGGAACTCTATGACATGTATAATAATTAACCATTTATGACCTACTAGAAATTGGCTTTACAAGCAGGGAANCCCCTATTTTGGGAACTGCTCCTATGATGACCATTTAAGGGAAATCATGTCACTTACTGTTCTCAAACTTACAGTAAAGAAACATGGGTCCAACATACAGCTTCAATAGGCAACGCAGTCTGTTTAGATCTATATCAGTCAGTAAGATCTATACAGGTGTTGATTCCGGTAAGTTATTCGGATCGCGCTTAGAAATCCACCTCGCTTGCAGGATTTTGAAAATTCGCATTACAGAAATCCTCTTGCGTTCACACTACTGCATTTATTCGAATTGTGACCTAATTCGCAACTTATCCTGATAACTGAGCGTGGTGTGAATGGGGTACTAATGTCTGTCCCGCCTACTACAAGCTGTAAGGGGGTAATTAACTTTTGTGCCCACTCAGCTGACAGCTATTTAGAGTGAACCCCTAGGGAGTTAGGTTGATCTAGTTGGATCGATCTAATCTCTGGGAATGGGGTCTAAGATTTTCATTTGGTAATAAAGAGACCAAGCAAAGTCTTTTTTCCCTCAAGTCACTGAATGCAGTTACACTACACCGAAAAAGTGGATATTGTCATTAATACAACTTTACCCTTTACCAACAAAAACAAGTGTATAGTGATCATCATGGTGTTAGTGGCAGATCTTTTGTATTGCACAATCTTGCTAAGGTTCATTTGGTAATGCAGACACTAATATAGCAAAGTAACAACATTTTTCTGACATTTTTTAAATTTTTTCATTAATACCAATGCAAATTTGTTGAAAAAAAAATATTGAATGATAGATTTATACTGGAGACAACAAAATGAGTACTGCTACTGTGCAAAAGTTTTGATCAGGTACATGTATTTGTGCTGCATTATAGGGGGAAAAGAGAAGAAAGGAAGTGATGTCAGTGTCATGTCACCCAATAGAATTGAAGAGCAGACTAAATTTCAGCAGGTGCTCAAAATAGACACAGTTTACCAGTCAAACACATTAAATTATAAAATTTAGTATAGAACGTGTCTCTGTTGGTAAACTGGGAATGTGTGCAAAAACATTTATTATAAAATTATTGATAAAGCATTTCTGCAATCTGTTGGATAAAATGCAACAGAACATATGAAAAATGCTTTTAAAACACCCTTAGGGTTTTATAATGTTATACCCCCATTTCAACACAGCAAAGTTTTTCTGGCACAGCCTACATTATGCTGGCATATTTCTTGGGGCCAGTGCTAATGTGTGCAGACTGCATATATTTATTTAGCTTCAGTTGTCAGTGCACATAGTTAACTTGAATATTGATAAACCTGGTACCATGAAAAATACCAGTAGAGTATATGGCTTATATCATTTAAGTGTCTGTTTCAGCTGCGCCTCTGGCTTTAAGTTTGTTGTTCAAAGTCAAAGAGGTCAACTGAAGAAAGAAAGTGAAGCTTATAATACATTCACATTACACATTTCAGTCATTTCATCAAATAGTGCACATAATGCTTTTAAAGAAACAAACAGTAGACAAACAGATATAAATATAAACCACAGCACAAAAGTGAGGGACACTTGATAGATGGTTTGATAAAAAAAATGACACACAATTTCTGTTTTCAGAATTGGAACACATTCCTCAAAAATTTTGCTGAAAATGATTTTTGCATGGATGAAAACTTCACAGTCCCAACAACAGAACCCACACCAGTAGCCAACTCACTTTCATCACCTAACAATGCACCAGAAAGAACTAGGTAAGGAAAATGTAACCTGTTGGACCCCATCTATTCTAAGGGATATAAAACATCTACATGTTTCTGCCTTTTTGAAAAGATGGAGGTGGACTAGAAATACATTAAAATTTTTGGTAAAGGAGAAAGAGAACTTCTTCAGGACTTCCTTATACTTGAAAGTTTTAATGAACCTTAAATGTCCACGGTCACAAAAATTCATAGCTTCTTAGTTGGCGATCTACAAAGTATTTAAGTAGAACCACAATTGTTTTGATTGCAAGATTTTTCGTTGAAGTCTTTACATAACTGTTGCCAATGTTCGTTTGAAATTTCACTTGTTAGTTTGTTTGTAAAATTTTATCTTCCGTAATTGCAATTTGATGGTTTACTAGTTGGTCCAGCGTTCAAAGTACCACTCATATTACTTTTCCATTATATGATACTGCCTTCCCCCACTTCCAGGCACCATAAGAAGTTTGCCTTTTAAAATAGAGGTTAGCAATATCTTTAATGTATTTCATCATTTTAGAAATTATTCTGTGGCCTTATGGTTGACTGTGTGGCCCACCATGGACTTCACAAGGTTTCACTACAATCACTCCAGATTACTAGCCACCTTGAGGGGGGAGGATTTGGGATTGAAAGGTACTTGAAGTTAAATTTTTAAAAAAATGAAAACATTCATGCTTAATATGTGGATGTAAATTGCATGTATTTTGATTAAACACCAAGTTATTGACAATTATTAGGTTTATGCCATTATGTTTTTTGTTATAAAAATTAAAAGGGACTGAAAAAATTTGATTTGATGTGTTTGACTGTGAAGATGGCAAGCCTTGCAAATTACCTTCCAACAATATACAATATTATCTTACTTTTGTCTGTTGTTTTACAAGACAGTTTTGCTAGGCAATAGTCTTCTTTGTCTTATGGTAAACAAACCACAATTTATAGTTGCCTTTAATTTTGTAGCAGTTGAAGGTACTTTGATTTTATTTTAGGTCATTTAGTGTCTGAGGAAGTAAATGTGACATTTGAATTACCATTTGACTGGAACCTTACTAACTGCCACAGTGCACGGAAGTGCGATTCAGTCAGACTGCGCACTTGTGTGTATTTTCAAGCAACTGCTCAAGTCTTTCCTGGTTATAGGTGAGATCTTCAAATAGTTCCTCAGTTTTTGTGCATAGTTGTGAATTAGTTTTGGTTCAGATCATAATATCATATTTTTCCCATTAGTGGAAACCATGTTATGCTGATTTCTCCAAAGTAAGGCACAGGAAAATGTTATGCAACACTATCAAGACGAAACATCACTGTTAATCGCTGTTCTCCAAAAGTGTGCTAGAGGTACCTTGGTTTTCTGTCTAGTTATGTATTATAATCATGCCTTTTGTATCCAATACCCAGCTGGTGGTACATACATTGTAGGTGATATCATCTCTCTGATCCTCAAGGTTTCTAAAGCATTTCACCGGGGATGCTCATTAATTTGATGAATGCACATTTTGTTCTTCAGGGCACCAGAGACGTGTATTCCTTTAAATGAATCAAGCCAAGGCCCCTATTCTCATATGACAAGTAGGAAGGACAATACTTTCTTTAGACATTTATGGTGCAGTCAGCATCCCAAAATAGAAGTGCAATATGAATGGGATCCAACTCTCAACATCATGCTGTCCATAGTAAGTATGTGTTATTATCCCCACAAAAAACTCATAAAGAAAAGAAAAAAATTTTGTTCAACTTGTCAAAAAAAAAAAAAAAAAAAAAATTAACAGCTCACATTTCATTTACTCCATGTTATTTTGTATATTTTAGGGTGATAGATCAGTGATTAACTTGCACCTGATGCACACAAGTTACTTCCTATTTGTCATGGTCATCACAATCATGTGTTATGCTATAATTAAAGGGAAACCAAAAAATAAAACTATACAAGTAGTTAATGGAGGGTCAGTTTTGTAGGTGCCAGAGGGTAAGTATAACCAAATTAATATAGAGAAAAAAAATGGAAAAGTCCTTCATAAGTATTTTTTTTTTCATAATTCAGTATGCACTGTTGGTAAACATGATTAGCAATCCTACACTGCCAAGTTTTCCAAAATTGCTCTTCTGAGACAAAATGGCTGCAGTTGTGATAAATCTGAATTTAATTGGAAACCTGTATAGTTAATTTGTAAAGACTGCATACTTGCTGAGTTTTTGTGGCATTATCAGAATAGATAGGAACATCTTACATTACCCTTTGTCATAAAAAAAATGATTTGTCGATTCCCATTTAAATACGGACACAGTAGCACATATCTATATAAACAGTTATTTTTAGCTGGATTGTTGAAAATGTGTGTACTATTATAGTATTATAGTACACACATTTTCAACAATCCAGCTAAAAATAACTGTTTATATACTATTAGATATGTGTAACTGTGTCCGTATATAAATGGGAATAGTTATGTAAAACTTTTGCCACCACATGGTCTATGTGAGAATCTTAAATTTTTTATTTTAAAGAAATATTATGAGGGATACTTGAATTTTATCCATTGCTTTTTGAAATAAAAATATGTCACAATGTTTATTTTTGCAGGAACTCTATGACATGTATAATAATTAACCATTTATGACCTACTAGAAATTGGCTTTACAAGCAGGGCATGTAATTGGCCAGGGACAAGCAGAGGAATTGGGTTTGAAGTTTTCTACAGGTCATCACTAGATGGAAGCTTGAAGTTGTGATAGTGGCATAGTTAGATGTTAAAGCACAAAGTAAGAGGCCATGAAATAAGAAGTACTTCAACATGGAATCCAGTTAGAGATATATTATAATTGCTTCATAAATAAATGCCAGTGACTGCCAAGCAGAAATGTGGTGTTTTATTCAATGTACCGGTGTACAAAGTTATAAACATATATGCCATACAGTTGTCTCAATACTGCATAATACTTGATGATTGTACTTACCAGTTTTTTGTAATGGTATTGCGCAGATCAAGATGTACCCTATACCAGTCTGGATCAAAGGAATATTGTTATCTACCAAAATGCAATGATATGTCTAGAAAAGTACCACACCACACAACTTCAGTGAATCAGCTGTCATTTCTCTACATGACGCATGAAGCCAGGTGTGGTGGAGAGGCTGACACTTAAGATTGGGTAGTTTGACACTTTTTTGTTTATGTCATTTTGTTCACGATCCCCAGTTTGTCATGACTTTTTGGAAGGCCTGCATTGCAGTGTTAATTAAATAATTCTCATGAAATTTGCAACACTTTATATCTTAAATTAGAATTGTATTTATGATTATATGTGATGTGATATGGTATCAAAATTGCACCTTTGTGTTGGAAAAAGAAGGGAAATGCTTGGCAGAATAAATGCATTGTTTGTGGCTATAATTGTATGATAATATACTGCTTATAAGTATAGTACTAGTACAAATCATTGTGGTCATTTAACTATCATTCAAATTAGTAACATAATGTTAACATGCATGTACATGTTTTGTGTAAACCATAAATATTTGTCTGTGAAAATCTGTTTTAAAATTGTGATTTAAGTTAAATTGTTTTGAGCATTTTAATAATTGGTCCCATGTAGTATCGGAGCAGCATTTATATTTCATTTACGGACAAAAATTACATCTCGTGTGTATTTGGTGTAAAAACATTACATTCAGTAATTATTCATTGTTGCATTTATTAAATTGTATGTCAGTAAGTGTGCTACACATCAAGTCACAGAGGATATATTCTGTGTGTTTCCAGTCTTTTTGTCTTTTTTGTGCTTATTTTTCTTCTTCTTTGTTTTTTTAGATGCATTCTCAGTTTTATTTTGCATCTCATTTGATTGGATATAATCACACTTTTGACTAGCTATATCTGCAGTGTTCTTTGTATTACCATTATTCAGTACTGTCTCAGCAGAAACTGCAACTTCAAGAAACTTTGACAAGTTCTCAGAGCTGTAATAGAATGAAGTCAGATATAAATTTATTCTTGTAAAACTTGGACAGATGATTGTCAGTGTTAAATGTAAAGGTAATCTGGTTTCAGAGTTACAAACTGAGGTCTTTTCATGCATAATATAATTGTATACAAATCCATTTTATGCTTTGAAAGTAATACAAAAATTAATACTATACCTGTCACTACTAGTGGACATTTTTCGTTTCTTTTTGCACATATTTGTTTTTCACCTCATCATGGCTGTGCGACGTGGAAAACAATTTAAAATCTAAAGAGATGGAAAAAAAATAAACATTTTTTGTCATTATAAAGGTCAATGATTATATGAAAACCAGCTACATACAGCATATGTCCTATTGTTTTATCATACAGAGAACATTTAGCACTCACTTCACAGGTTCAAATTAAGATCTAAACATACCACTATCATCAGATGATTTGCTTTGTTCACTGGTTTGCACAAGGGTTTGAGTCTCTTCAATTGAACTGCAAAATTAAAATTTAATCGCTTGGTGTTCATAAACTGAATTGATTATAAAACATAAAAAGTAATAAATACATACAGTAATTTTGTTTTGAATAAATTTGAACAAATGTTGACTAAACTTCAGTATGTTTCAACTTTGATATTAGTGCGTTTTTCAGTGTCACTTACCAGCTGTGACACTGAAAAATGCAGAAAATATCGAGTAACTGATATGAAGTTGGTCAGCAACCCAGTGGATTTCATCAAACAAATGATTATAGCATTCCTTTCTAAACAATATTCAAAGCCAAGTACCATGTGACTAAGGCCCAAGGGAATTCCCCTAATGAACATGCAAACTGCTGTGAAAAAAATGAGGGAAAAAGGAGTACAATATAAAATTTATGTAAAACAAGATTTCCATCGGAGCAACAACTGCTTCATGGATATGGCTTCAAGCAGGAAAATGCTACCTTCATCTGACAAGTGAACAGCCATACACACTTATGGATTGGTAAGCTTGCCACACAAAAAACTATAATACAAACATCTGCTTTGACAGGTCCAATGAGATTCCTGTGATTCAGTGTTTCACCTAGGGCTAAGTAAGGAATTAGAGTAGTGGTACTTTTATATACACATTTGCAGGTTTCTCTCTTTTTTTTTCAAATGTAGTTTGCTCTCAGAAAAAAAGGTGCATACAAAATAACTAAATTGAGCATGTAATATAAATAGCACTATATATTCTCAACAGTTATTTTCATTATTCTAATTTAACTTAATTGTTTATTCATTTGGGCAAACATTACCTAAAATTAGATACTCCATGACACCCAGTCATGTTGGTTCCATAAGTAAAATCCCCAAAAATGTCTTTTTCCAATGTTTCAAACAATTATTCTTACTCGTCCATTTAACTTCATCATAACCCAAAATGTACAAAGCCATTACAAACTCTTTCAAACACAAACTTACTCGTCAAGAACTTTTGACAGCTTCCCTGCTAGAAATGTTTTAAATTCTGAAGTTATTTCCAATCCCTGCACATCTGCACTTTCAACCCTATAAAACATTTAATCTCATATGAAATCCAACACTGACAAATCTCATGATAAATCAATATATATATAAACTTAATTTTCATAACAAAGATGCTGTTAACCCTATATCAATTCCTAAAGTTGTCACAAAAGCCTTACACATTTTTCCATTTTTGTTCTTGTAAAGGGTCCAGCTTGAAGTATTACATTTAGCTTTGTAATGCAAAATGTGATACAAGCCAATTACTGTTTTAATTCACTCAGAGCTGAAAATACAGTGTATTTACCCTCTGATATCACAGGGGCCTCTAGAATAAACCTGTAACAAAACTGAAATAGGGGCCCCTGTGAAATCTGAGGTGATCAATGTCTCCTGGTAGAGTATGTATCTTCCGCACCCCTACCCACCAGTTAAATTGTGGCACAGCAGCAGTGGTGGGTATAATTGTGAGGTTGAGCACCAGAAAATGTTTTTGGTCCATGCTTGACTTAATCTTTACAGCTATAAATTCATTATGTAACACAAACAGGGATATGTGCTAGTCAGCAACAGGTATGAAATAATTTTCACATCTGTATAATAATTCCCCTTGTGAACCACTAAATGCCCATGTAACGTGTAACCAACAGAACTGTTCAGACAAAGTGGGAAAACAGGACTTCTGTTTCACAAATAAAATTTGTTTGAGAGGAATGGTGAACAAAAAAAAAAAAATGGTAGCATTTGAGATTGATGGTCAAATGCACCTTATCCAGCTAAGACCAGTTGCAGATTTTACTATCGAAGAAGTGGTTTTTGGCTTCAAATAGTCATTTTGTGAAATGGGCCCAAGAGGAGGCTTATATCCATAGCCAGAAAGACAACTCAACACCGGTGCTTTTCTCCATTTGTGGAGGAGTGTGGGTGTTCGTTTATAGAAAGCCAGATCTCATTCTGTTGACCTACACGCTATCTAGTCTCTTCCCACCTTGCTTTACTGTGTGATCTGCAAGCAGAAAAGATAAAATAACTCGCATAAGAATGAAATATTTTAACTAAACATCCAAGGATGGCACATAAACAGACATTACACCAAACAAGTAACATAAAAGTTATATTAATAAAAGAGTTGGTAACGTGATACATGACTTTGTTCGTTCGAGCCTATAAACGCCATTGGTGCTGATTTGTAAATCATTTTTACCATATAATTTTTTTGCTGAAAAAATATATATTGTTGAACTCACGATTGGATTTAACTACAGGGCATATATCTACAACAGCGTCCTGTAAGCGACGCCTTTCATCTTCATCCGATTCCGTACTGGTGGTCGACATTTTGTTTACCTTCAGAACGAGGTAAGGGACTTTCCCGCGAAATCTCTTCCGAGTTCATACGCCACCAATATAGTACATTATCATCTGCAAGTTTTCAGTTTTGTCTGACGTGTTTGGGTTTGTTATAGTTCCTGACAAGACGGAACATTACTAGCGGTATCTTCATACCTCTAACAGTACTTTTTTGATTGCTTCATTTCTGTTTAGTGATCGAAGTCACATGGCAGTTATAAAGTAGTACCTTTGTCGAGTAAAGACGAATACTTATTGTTAACGGCAGGAGAATATAACTGTTCTGTTTAGTGGAAAGATGAAGCTTTATATCTTGATATGGATACATTAGGATGACATCAACCAGTCTGTTTGCTGGCAAGAGCAGATAGGAGATCATTGCTGTATGAATTAGATTTCACTGATGAACAGCTTTCGACACGACCCGGCTGAACGTGATCGACCTCGGGAAGACGCAATATTAGCATCATGGCCAACTACAGTGGCCTAAGCAGGGCTCAATTGAGCTATGAATATCTGCACACAAATTCGTAAGTGGGAATGGGAAATACTAAAATCTAGAAGAATCTTCAAATGGCAGTACCAATGCAAGCTCTCAAGTATTCCTGAATGGGCATACGTGCTACCAAGAATCTGTGGTAGAATATTCTGCACACGATGTAATATTTGCAACGCTATCTTAAGATTAAAGGAGGTGGGGCAGGTGCAGTTTTAAGCTGATACTACGAGGTCACAGTTAGGACATCGTTGTTATCGTAATCAATTAACAATGTCATGTTTGACCCCAAAAAGTTTATTACAGCACATGAGCACTATTTATATCCTCCATATCTTTTGCAAAAAAATTCCCCTGATAAAATTGGGTGGGATAGATATTGTTGATGACAAGCCATTTAAACTTTTCAAGTCAGAATTTTGAAGACATTCTTTTGGCATGAATCACCTTTTTGTTGAGTTTATCTGAGGGCAATTAAATTTAACTTTTAAAACATACAGACAGATAAATGGCCTAATCAGTGTTGCAGAAAATAATCATATTCTCCATCCCTTGCCAAACCTCGGTAGTCGGCCATCTTGACACAGTTAGAAAAAAACATGGGTTCATTGGCAGCATGTACTAGATTTTAACCAGGTCAAAGCATGAGAGTCTCACAGTATCTGGAATTCAAGTGATGGAATGAATGATGTATCAAAACCTTTGCTTAATTGTGGGTTTTGTTCTTTTGCTTTTTCCAAAATTGTTACAGAGTTATCGCGAGTGTCAGAATAGGAAGATTAAAGGTTGGTAAGTCGAGGGGCAAATGACGTTAAGCCCAGGAAAATTAGTTAAATATGAGTTTTTTTATGTATAGGATATCTCTAAATTTGGTCCATTTTTCCGCCAATGTAAGCCAAGCTTACATGTGACCAACTCTGCATAAAAACACTTATTGACCACTTTTGAGTTTGCATCTAAAAAGAGTTATGATTGTACAATTTTATAAACTCCCAGGAAAATATTAGTTTTTATTCGCACTGATGGCAAATTGACCCTTTAAATTCACCATGCTCTTTCTTACAAATAGCTGTGATGTTACAGAACACAGCAAGTTATTCCTTAGTGAAAAGTTGACTATAAAATAAATTTTTTATTGAAGAAATTGCTTTATTAAATTTGAAATGGCCAGATGTTCTTATTATCAAGTTGGCTACCTACTGAAACATATCCTGAGCTTCAGATTCTCACAGACAATCTTTGTAACTGCAAGAGAACAACAGAGAGCACAAACCTCTCACAAACTGTATTTCACCTCAAATAATTCTTTACTCAAGCTTTTTGATATATATTCCTATTAAAGAATCAGTTTAAGAACAGAGAAGATATGCAGTCCATTAAAATGCATCATGTATGTTAAAAGGACAAATGCAATCTTGGACATTTTTGGACCAAATTAGTCAAACAGCTGGGGGAGAGTAGGATAAAAGTTTTCTGGACAGGAATACTAATTGGTGCAATGCTTCTCAGAATATTGTTCTTGGTTTCGAATTAATGGATTAAGTACATATTTAAATCCCTTATTTATTGCAATAAAATTTGTAACAGGTTGGTCTTCTATAAATTATGGGGATGGATTTGACACGATGCAAGATTCATGTGACTCGAATAACAAAATGATATGTGAATTAGTTAAGAGATAAAGGCGAAATGGAAAAGATGTCTGATGAGGGCAGGAGATGAAAGTCTCCCTTCACTAGAGGGAACCACCTGAACAGGGTCACTTAACTATAAGGAGTTCCAGTATCTACTAACCTAAGAATAAAATAAAAACTGGCAAAAGGAATTAACAGGAACCTGAAAAAATGTCCGAAATGAAGAGGCAAAAGAGAAAAAGGTATAGGCCCACACAATGACTAAAGACAATATTCCTAAGAAGTTACATATTTACTCCCTGTGGTCCTCATATAGCAACAAACTGGTAAGTACTACACCAATAGTGACTTAAGAGGGCTGGCAAGAAGATTCCCCCTGCTGCACCAGGAACCTGGAAACTATTTTTGATATGGTTGATGAATGCCTTGCAATAGTTGCTAATGCTCATTAAAACCTCAATTACACCAATAGTGACTGAAGAGGGCTGGCAAGAAGATTCCCCCTGCTGCAGTAGGAACCTGGAAACTATTTTTGATATGGTTGACGAATGCCTTGCAATTGCTAATGCTCATTCAAACCACAATTTCCTATTCCTGCTGAGACTCCTCTTGGACTTCTCGCCTGACAAGATCACACTGGTTTTTTAATTTTAAAAAACATCTAGGCAAGGTGTGGTAAGGCTTTCTTGTATCTCAAAGGAGAACACAGCAAGTGGACCTACTTTGTGTTTAGTTTTGACTATTTTTGAAGGTTCAACAGCATGAATACAATACATACACAAATAAAAGAAGAAGAACACCAAGTTCAGGGCTGCCTTTAGAGCTTGGCATCTTGATGACTTCTAAATTTGACATTGAAGGTCAGATTAAATATACATGTGATGCCCGTTTGAAAATTGAGGCGTGTGATCTGAAGCTCAAGATGACTGAAGAAAGCCTTTTGAAAATGTTCCAACACAAATTCATTTGTAAATTTAGAGTGCATCCAAAGACCATGCTTACTGTTGTATTTGGCAGATTGGGAAGTCTTCATTAAATATTGAAATATGAGAAGAACAAAACCTGGATCTTATGAAATATAAATTAATCAACTTTTATCTATGACTGAGCTTGACCAGAAGAAAAGTAAGGTTTTGTCAAGAATGATACAACATTATTTCAAGATGCCTAGATTGATGTATTGGGGTGGAGGATTGAAGACTATGCGTAAAAGCTAAGCCAGTTTGATACAATTTCAGGCTAGGTAGTTATCTGACCGTGGTGATGTGTTGCATCATCCAAAACCTGGGCATTGATAATGATCAGGATAGGAAAATAAAGGAACAAAAATTTTTAAGGGATTTCCCCCTAAATCCATTACCATCACATGTAGCAGCCTTGTGAAATCAGAACACAGTGAGTCGGGTGGAGACTAAAACCATGAGTACCACCAGTCCTCATGCTGGTGGTATTATAAATAAATGCCAAGCTTTTAACTAGGAGTGTACAGTGCATTGATGCCTGCCGGATTTAATGTTTATCTGCTTTATGATTGCCAATGCACCAGTTCTTAATAGAGATTGAAGTCAGATTGGATAAGAACTACTGCCTTTTACTGTTGACAGGTCCTTACAACAAAAAATGAGAGTATTGCATTTGTTATAGTTTTTTCTTTTTATTTTCTTATTAAAATTGTTATTTTTTACATCAATGTATATTTACCAGGATTGTTGGAAAAGTCAGTCTAATGTTGAGTGATACTGTCGTACATATGAAGAATGTTTATTTTTAAGGAAGCAAGTTTGTAACATTGCTCTAATGATACAGGAACACCACCCACCTTCTACAAACATACAAGGTTTATGTTTTATTGCTCTATTTTTTATATATGTACATATTTGATGTGAAATAAAATGTTCCCAAACTGTGTTTGTGTGGTTGACAAGCAGGGCAGCTGATGGCTTGTCTGTATCTGATTAAAAGATGTTTCTGACACAGAATGTTTTTCATTTGTATGGTTTAAGTCCTGGAGGGTCTTTTCACATCAAACGTACTATCTTAAGCATTCTATCCTTAGCATTCTGTTTTAAGAGGAGCTACCATGTAATCCCACACTAGTGGACATGACTCCTCATAAATCAAGTGTTCACAGGCTTCCTGCTGGTTTTTTTTTTTTTTCTTTCTTCCCAGGTCAAAGTATTCAGGGTCAACCGTTTTTATCATCATTTTTGCAAGTCTACAAAACGTATGCTGGAAGGAGGGGGTTACACTTTTAGAAAAATAATAAAACGCGACCTTAATCTATAGGGGTGTGGTAGCAAAGGTAATAATTTTAGCTTTTCAATTTGTATTATCTGAAGGTGTGTGGGGGTCTGGGAAAAGTCTGCTCGTTGTAGACTTGTAAAAATGATAATATAATGGAAGACCCCTTCCAAAGGTTCTTAAACCTAAAAACCAGTATTGTGGACAATAAGCAAGGCTAGTTGTTCTACCGACCAAAATTGATTGGCTGTTTGAAGAATGTAGGGTCCATTTTGGTGATTCTCTTACATGATGGTTAGGTTATCTAGCTGTCAATCTCAAAACTGAACACTAAAGGTGGGATGCTTAGAATGGAATGTTTGAAAAGAAAAGCCCCTCTGAGAAATGGTACATGTTATTTGTGTTTTTGATATGTGTAAAGATGTCAACTAAAATTAATTCATTTAAGGTGAGAATTTTTTATTCAATATTGATGGATCTCTTTCAACAGTCCAATTCCATGGACAGGTTTGACAAAAATAGTAAGAATTAAAAACAGCTCTGTTTTCAGTAATGTTTTGATATTAGAAATGGCATATATTGTCAAAGCCCACCTGATTGACTGTTGAATAAAGAGATAAACCATAGTTTCTTGCTACAGATTAGTATCTGACTCATAAATCCAGTTCTGACTGGGCTTTTTTTTCTCTCCTTCCAGAACAACCCACGAGTTTCTATTTGGAGCTTTGGCTGAGCTTGTAGATAATGCAAGGTAATTCTGCAGCTTATCCTTCACACCCAGACAACAAATATTGCTGTTGTGTTTCTGAAAGGAACACATTGTGAGGAGGTCTAAGTATATGTATATAATAGAATAAAGGGCATTTTCATTTGGTTGGACATTCCGTCAGTGTAATGTTTGGCCAGTGTTGTTCATTTCCTTTGGGTTGTCATGAGTTCACTTTCAACACGCACATTCAATTTGTTTGTTTGTTTGTTTATTTATTTATTTATTGAGGGAATGGGGCTGTGAAAGCAATTCTGCATTACTGTCAAATTTTGGCTATCTGGTGAATTGATTGTGTGGTACTTGTTGAAGTGTAGCTGGAAGGTGCTAATGGGCCTTATACAGTTAATAGGCCTGCACATATTCTGAGCTGAAGTTGGTGCATGATAGAGGGGATGTGAAAAAAAGAAAAGAATGTAGTTGGTTTATGACAAAGGTTATGTTGTATTAATAAAGTGATATTTCTCTCTTGTTTGTTTTGAATCACATTCTCAGTCATATTATTGATTTGTAATAAATTCTTAAAGGTACCAGTACGTACCTAACAAGAGTAAATACCCCATAATGAATAATTAGTACCACCTGTCTTATAAACAGATTAGACATTTACTAACACTACCCGCAGATCGTTGAGCACTAACACCCATATTAACCACATAACCCACAATTTAACCAGCACTACCAGAGGGGATGAATGTTCATGCTCGGTAACGATTTTTTGGTGCTAAATAATTGTATAGTATGTTGATTCATTTGTGAGGTTTTATGGTTAATATGGTCATTAGTGCCAAAAGATCTGCAGTTAGTGTTAATAAACGCCTAATCTGTTTTTAAGGCTTGTATCAGTTTCTTTCAAGACACTTATAAAATCCACATACCTCCCCCCCCCCCCCCAAAAAAAAAAACAAAAAACAAAAACAAAAAGACTGCAATTCACCTCTTGGGCAGCAGAAAAAAGCATTTAAACTGCATCTACTTCTCTTTCTTTAAAGTACAGGAAGTAGGCAGAAAATGTCTGTCAAATATTTTTTTTTTTAATTTTCATTTTTTATTATTTTCTTTTTTAGAAAATGAATTGAAACTCTGCAGCATTTCTTTATACTTTTTAAAACACTGGTGGCATTTGGTCAGGTTTTGTATAATTTGACAAAAGCACTTGCTTAATATGCATCTTGAAAATGGTTTCCAACAAGCAAATCAATCCACCATGTTAGGGCATGATATCTTCATGTTTAATTTTATAAACTCAGGGTGAATATATGCTGGTATCCAAGAATGCACTTCACATTTTGCAAAGCCATTACTAGCTAGTAAATAAAGTTCTGAAATGTCATTGACTGAATATGTCTAGAAATAATTTGACAGGAGACCAGGAGCCATGTCTGAAATGGCCCCATATTTGCATGTTATGGTATCTTTCCACTCACAGCAGGAACTGGTAAGCCATGCTTGTTACCTGTGCCTTTAAAAGGAAGTCTTGAGCCAACCTTCCCCAGAAAAGTAGACCCAAGCTAGCATGTGTTTTATGCAACTATCCCTGTGTGTAATTTTGTACAAAATTTCATTCACAGATTTATACATGCTATACACTAATATTAACCTCATTGAATATATAGAGACTGCAACTATCGAAAACATGAAAAAGATCTCTTTTCATACAGAGTACAAAAAAAGCATCATTACATTTGTATAATAAGAGAATAGAATGAATAAGCTGCTGGATTTCCATATGAGTTGACTTCTACCACCACTTTTAGAAGAGCATGCACAGTTCTCTTGGGATACCCATGATTATCTTAGATGGTCTTTCCAAATCCAGCAAACCATGTTGGATATTGCACTGATAGTCAAAATGATTTCATTTCTGATTAATTCACATATGGATGAGGTTATTGCCTCATGTATAGATGATGACTTGTTAGTCCCTCTCCATTATCCACACACAAAACTCAGAAACTTTCTAGTACACCCAAAAGACAAGATAGAGGACAGCAATAAGTGTGGAATAATATACGAGACCGCCTATGAGCGTTGTGACATTGTATATGTTGAAGATATGGGAAGAAAACTAGAAATGAGACTAGAGGAGCACAAGAAAGAGGTAAAGCAAATTGAAAGTGGGCAAGTTAACACCAGATCCAAACGTGCTATACTGACAGCTAGGAGTTCTACACAAATCGGCCATCACAGATTATATGTCAGAAAATGACCATGTGCCAAAATAGGGCAATACTAAAGTGCTAACCAGTGAAAGTAATTACAACAAGCGCATAGTTTTTGGAATCCATCTTGATGAGAAGGAGGAAGCACACCACGAACAGATGTGAAAGAGTGCACAAACTACCCCATGTGTATGATGATATTCTCAAATCCACCCTGGGGTGTGTAAGCTAGAGGGATTAACAAGTCGTCATCAAAACTTGGGTAATAAAATGGTCACCTTTACCTGTATAAGCAATTCAGTTGTGACCAATTCTGTCAGAGTGAACAGACAAAACAGTCAACAGGTATATCTTATATGTGGATCTAACATGAAAGAAAACTTTTCGACTAACAAAACTGAGAACCAGTGAAACTCTTTTCATATTAAATTGACATTATATTGTGAGGATATGATATATAAAGGTTCACTTAATATCAATAAGGGGGTTGTACTTCCAAGCTGAAAGTAAGGAAAGAGTAGGTAGGTAAATAATCCTGACATAGTCCCTATAAACAGAGTACAATATAAATTATTTGTGCAGCAGGTAACAACATATCTGGACCCTCTTTCTCACAAATGTACCAAAAAGTGTGGGTGGGTGGGTCTTGAGGGCATTACAGCAGCTTGATCAATCATCAACTGTGCACATTTGGTGAAAAAAAGCCAAGATATGGAATATACTACTCATTTTCACATGCTTTAAAAGCCAAAATGTCAATACTCACCTACTTAAAATACTTCGGTTTGGGGAGTTAACCTCCCCTTGAACAAGAAAAAACTGACAATGCTAGAGGATCTGTAAAAGTGGGAAATTTTGTCATTTAAACTGGTCATCCATCTTCATCTTAAAATTGAAATAACTTTTCTATGTATGTATAAGCTCTTGAAATGTGTTGAAGCTGACAATATTACTCTTGAATGCCCTTTTGTTTTTTGCACATTTTGCTGACACTAGAGCCCTTTAGCAGTGGCATGGCATACTTGTCTTTCAGGACACGACCACAATCAAATGAAACTGTTGAACTGTAAAATGCCAATCCAAATAAAGGTGGCAGAAGAAATGATAAAGATTTAAAAAGCCTCTTTTCAGGATACCATTCGGATTATAAAATGGCCCTGTTCAGTTTAATGTACTTGTATCATTTCGATTTCTTCCCAAAGCATCTCTTTTTCAAAACTCAGTATGTATACACATTTAATAGACATCACTACATGTAGTGCAGAATAACTCGTTCAACTCTCAAAAAAATATCAAATAAACAGTAATAGATTAACTTTGAATTGCATTTTTGTTATTGTAGTTGTTTGCTTACATCATTTTTGCTTGCCCTATAACTGTCAAATGACTAGATATCATTGAATCTGTTACTTTGTACATCTGCCATCCTTGACGTCTTTTTGAACTGTTGTGATATATATGTTTATAAGCACAGTATCATAGGATTGTTTGAATTCACATTAATAAAAAATAATGTGAAAGTTGATTACGTAATTGGTACCTGTATGCTATTTTTTATTTAGATGCCATTTGGAGGTTCTGCAACTTAGAATCAATTTCTAATCAGGAATATGAGAAATCTGTCATTCATAATGTTTTTTTAAGCCAGTCATTCCTGATGTAAGTTTGTTCAATATTGTTGGAGTGGTTTCCTGCCTTAAACCATTTCCTAGTTCCTAATAACCATTTCTGTTCTGCTTAAGCAAACATTACTGAATTCATATTCAGTTTTGATGGGATAAGAAATGTGATATTGATATAAAAAAGCAAAGTTATTTTTCTGCCTATTCACATTGAAAGAGTATTAATTGTATGCTATTGATTTCTATATTGCAGAGATGCTGGAGCCACAAAAATCAATATTTATTCAGGTGAGTCGCATTAAATTGCCAGCCCATCATTTTGATAGCACACATACTGTATGAGTTGTTAAAGTACATAATTTAGGCCGTTGTCTTTTGTTCTCCATGCCCCTACCTGATGTTATATTGGACATTTATTCATCAGAAATTGATTTTAGATAAGACATGTTGGTTTACAACCATCAAGCTTGAAAAAAACTTTAAATAGGAGTACTTTTGGTTGAATTTATGAATGGCTTGACTTGACCTACAGGCCGTGTATCATTTGGGTTAAACTTGTGTACAAAATACTGAAAGTTGCATATGAAGCGAGCATAAATTCCCTGTAGACTAATAAAAGTCTACATCCCAAAGAAACCAAATTAAATACTTGAAAGACAATAAAAGCATTGTCATTTAACTTTTTAATGAGATTTTAAGTGGTCAACCTTAACCTGCAACTTAACAAGTCCCCCCCCCCTCGACAGCCACAAGACAGTTAATTGCTCTTCTGTGACAAATAAAAATAGCTCCCTATGAATAGCTTGTTGCTTAAGGGTGTTCTTTCAAACCACAGGACTTGTTTCAGCAGACAGCTAATCCAAAACAGGCTGTGTTTATCACATAGGCACAAAGCCCAGTTTCTAGAGTGGATACAATGTCATCTGCAAGCATGCAGAATTAATTGCTTCCATCTGGCCAAATGTAAAGAGCTTTCGCACCTGCACGTTTAGGTTGACCTACTACATTTAAAATGTAAAATGACCAACAATTATTTTTTCGTTATTTCGCAGAAAGACCCGGTTAGCCTTTACGGATAGTCGAATTGTACAGTAGGCTGATACATGTTTCACGTACTGTAAGCAGAAACGTTAAATAGGTCATACGCCATTGGACAGGTTAGGTAATTTTGGAATGGTCTTCCATACACAATTTATGGAGATCTGGCTTACCCCATTAGAAGGTATCTGTTGAGTCCTTTCAGAGGAGCAAATTTTAGTGCCGAAGAAGAAGAATTCAAGAGGATAATTTCATCTGTGCGGGAATGCGTCGAGTGGGAGTTCGGAAACTTATTGCGAAACTTTGCTTTCCTGGACTTTCGAAACTAATCGAAAGAATTAAAAAGTTCTGTTGTCTCCTGCAGCCAAGCACTACTTGGTAGGTGGTCTTCTGGTCAACTGCCATACCTGTGTGTATGGCAATCAAATGAGTCGGTACTTTTAACTAGATCCTCCCACCTTGGCGGACTATTTAGCATGAACTGTACATGTGTATAGAGTAAAATGTAAAATTCATACCGCAAGCAAACATTTAAATGAAATCTTGAATAAAAAACTAATGTTTTAACAAAGATTCAGCCCATGTGTATCTTGCAGGCAGCAAGGGCCTAGTATGTCAATTCAGTTTTTCTTTTTAACCAAAGATGTAACCATCTCCATCATTTGTTTGTCTTTCTCAATTTGAGCTTCTCGCTCTTTCTTTTCTAATTCAAAGCATTCTTTCTCGAAGGCCAACTTGTCTTTCAGGTAACTGACGTAATCTCCTGATGAATCAGTATGGCGCTTCTTAAGTGGCGGCATGTTGTCCCAATTTTCAGCTGAAAAAATAAGTGTGTCACCAATTAATGCAGCATCAGTTTTTGTTACTGATATAATAAATATTAATCAATATTTCCTATTAGAGACAATTTCGGAACGATTTATAGAACGATGTGCTGTCCTTACTATTATTTATTATTCATTTATTCAAATACACAAAACAGGAAGCCATGTGACTTTCGAAACAAGGCTTCATAACATTAGCATTAAAAGTCAAGGAGACATGTCCTGTTAACTAAAGGAGAAAATCGAGCTACTAGTAGTATCTTACTAAATGGCACTTACCTTGCGGATATCCTGCTTGTTATGCATCATATGCAAACGGCTAGTCTACAGTCCACTTATAAAGGCATGTGTACTCCTAACAACTACTCACAAAATGATGACCTAACAGTCTTATAATACAATCAGTCACACGTGCGGAAGGCCAGTTCTGACTGCCTTGTGGTCAGTGGAAAATGCCTTTTTATGTACAGACACATATAGCCATCATCTGCGTCTGTCGTCGCTGCCGTCGCCGTCGCCGTGCACTTTTACCGATAACACGATAAGTGGAAAACNAGGTCACCGGCTTTGTAAAGCCTGGCTCAATTCGTTGAGAATCCGCTCTTAGGCACAAAGCCCAGTTTCTAGAGTGGATACAATGTCATCTGCAAGCATGCAGAATTAATTGCTTCCATCTGGCCAAATGCAAAGAGCTTTCGCACCTGCACGTTTAGGTGACCTACTACATTTAGCTATCCGTAACTGTAAAATGACCAACAATTATTTTTTCGTTATTTCGCAGAAAGACCCGGTTAGCCTTTACGGATAGTCGAATTGTAGGCAGTAGGCTGATACATGTTTCACGTACTGTAAGCAGAAACGTTAAATAGGTCATACGCCATTGGACAGGTTAGGTAATTTTGGAATGGTCTTCCATACGCAATTTATGGAGATCCGGCTTACTCCATTAGAAGGTATCTGTTGAGTCCCTTCAGAGGAGCAAATTTTAGTGCCGAAGAAGAAGAATTCAAGAGGACAATTTCCTCTGCGGGAATGCGTCGAGTGGGAATTCGGAAACTTATTGCGAAACTTTGCTTTCCTGGACTTTCGAAGCTAATCGAAAGAATTAAAAAGTTCTGTTGTCTCCTGCAGCCAAGCACTACTTGGTAGGTGGTCTTCTGGTCAACTGCCATACCTGTGTATGGCAATCAAACGAGTCGGTACTTTTAACTAGATCCTCCCACCTTGGAGGACTATTTAGCATGAACTGTACATGTGTACACGAGTAAAATGTAAAATTCATACCGCAAGCAAACATTTATTTAAATGAAATCTTGAATAAAAAACTAATGTTTTAACAAAGATTCAGCCCATATGTATCTTGCAGGCAGCAAGGGCCTAGTATGTCAATTCAGTTTTTCTTTTTAACCAAAGATATAACCATCTCCATCATTTGTTTATCTTTCTCAATTTGAGCTTCTCGCTCTTTCTTTTCTAATTCAAAGCGTTCTTTCTTGAAGGCCAACTTGTCTTTCAGGTAACTGACGTAATCTCCTGATGAATCAGTACAGCGCTTCTTAAGTGGCGGCATGTTGTCCCAATTTTCAGCTGAAAAAATAAGTGTGTCACCAATTAATGGAGCATCAGTTTTTGTTACTGATATAATAAATATTAATCAATATTTCCTATTAGAGACAATTTCAGAACGATTTATAGAACGATGTGCTGTCCTTACTATTATTTATTATTCATTTATTCAAATACACAAAACAGGACGCCATGTGACTTTCGAAACAAGGCTTCATAACATTAGCATTAAAAGTCAAGGAGACATGTCCTGTTAACTAAATGAGAAAATCTAACTACTAGTAGTATCTTACTAAATGGCACTTACCTTGCGGATATCCTGCTTGTTATGCATCAAGTGCAGACGGCTAGTCTACAGTCCACTTATAAAGGCATGTGTACTCCTAACAACTGCTCACAAAATGATGACCTAACAGTCTTATAATACAATCAGTCACGCGTGCGGAAGGCCAGTTCTGACTGCCTTGTGGTCAGTGGAAAATGCTTTTTTTACAGGTATAACCTATATTTCAATAGTAACAAAAAACATAGACACAAATAACAGAGACAAAATGTTTCACATATGTTGCAAAAATAAAATGCCCAATATGATTTTAGCAGAGAAACGATCAATTTTGAAAGGCTTGATTTCATAAAATTATGCTGATTTGTCGAACCGTTTTTCATTGACGGGTAGCAATCTAGCTGTGGATAATGTTCTCTCTAACGGTATGTGTACACGTCACTAGACAGCAAAATATGATGACCTAATAGTAAAGGTAGTCATTCGCCTAAACGTACAGGTGCGAAAGCTCTCTAGTGATAGGGTCCCATTAAAGAGAAATTCACAAATAAATCTGCAGTCCTGGTACTTGTACTCTATGGTATTAGCTTTTTCATGTTGCTTTCTGTCGATAGTTTTCCAAATTATTATTGGTTATGAAAAATTCACCATTTACAATATGTCCTTTTGGAAGGTTTATAAAATGCTGAAACTAAACCTCTTATTCTCATGGTAACAAGCCATATAATTGACAATAAGGCTTCACTTGTGTCTGTCTGCTGCTGTGCCACTATCTCAGTTGCTTAATTAGCTGCAGAAAAATAATCAGATAAATAGATGAGGGCGTATTTGGCAGCCAACGTTGCAGATTTCCTAGAAAGAAATTATGTAATTAATCCCGTCGTATTGATTGAACTTTTTTCCAGTCCCTGATAAAAAGCTGCGTGGTGGTTACATGCTGTGTTTTCATGATGATGGAGAAGGAATGGATCCAGGTGTGTATAATTAATGTTTTATCAATCACGACTAATCTTATCTCTTAAAAAGGTAGTATGTTGCTGATTTTCACCCCCCCCCCCCAAACTCCCTCTAAAGCAATTTGTATTAATATTTGAACCAAGAATTTTATGCCAGAAAAATTGATGATATTTCGTAGGTAAGTTTCTTGATGTTCATTTTTTAATTTTTTTTAAATTAAAGCTACGTTATTTTATTGCTTTTTAAAAATGTTCTTGAGTACATTTTATGGTATTGAAAATGTTTCATTTCAGATGAATGTGCTGACATTATTACATTTGGCAAATCTCACAAAAGAAATTTTGAAAACCAACAAATTGGAATGTATGGCAATGGGCTGAAATCGTAAGCACAACATTTTCATTTTGCCTTTTCCTGCTTTCAATTAGCTTGATAAAGTAAGGTATTTTAGTGTACATAAGAGCGTAAATTTGAATAGTATTTTATCTGAATCAATTGTTTGTTTCATTTCTCATAATGAGCACAGTGGAATGCTTCTGTTTCTAGCCAGGTGTTGCTGTAATTTTTTCAGTCCTACTGCCACCATTTTGTAACCTTGCATGGTAGTACCTACATTTAGTTGTCTCCTTATGGGTACTGTAAGGAATTATTCCAAATATGGAAAAATATGGAAAAAATCCAAATATGGAAAAAGAGGATTTTCCTGCATCTAATTATTAATAATATATCTACCTTTGTACTGATTTAAAACAAAGAAAATCCCCTTGAAATATTTAAAATATTGGCATTCATTTCTCTCGTTGCTGTGTGTAAGCATAGGCCACTCAAAGCTTTTATCATCAGTTTAACAGCTTTCTATTTTGAGGTGAGATAGTGATCGTTATGGGGCATAACTTCATCCCAGAATAAGATTTTATCATCAAAATTGGCATAGTTGATCACAAGTCTATGGGCCTCAATCCTGAGCCATCATTTTGCTTTAAATGCTTTGGTTATGGAGTTTTGAGCCCTTGATTACAGATAACCAGAGGCATTAATTTGCTTTGTCTATGATAAAGTCTGAACTAAGACTTTTAAGAAAAATCTCTGGCATAGTTTAAGTGTATTAAATAGTGTCATTAAATTGGCAATGAAATGCATTTGTGGTTGCTCAGGTAAAGGAGAAATTTGAGAAACAGATTTTTCTATTTTAAGCTCAAAATTGCAAAAATGACATCACCTGTAAGATGACATGTGTTTAAATGTTAATTTAGTTACTGAACACTGAAGATTTATCTATTATCCAGAGGAATGTATGAAAGGCAGTAAATAAGGAGTTTTTGGCAAAGGCCTGAAGTAGCCTTAATTAGTTGATAAATAAAAAAAAGCACACAAGCCTCTATGCTATCACGTTAGTCTTTCATAATCCAAAAAGACCTGATAAATGTCTATTTGGTAATTTGACAAAAGTTGCCATACCCCTTTTTTATTCTTTAAAGAATTTACTAGGCTAAAAACAAACACATCTAAGATATGAAACTACAAAGAGAGATTCCTGAGATTAGGGTTGAAAACATTTTTAGACTTCTAGCAGCAGGCCCATAAAGTCCAATTTTTCCCATTAGATTGCAACATATACGATTGCCAGAACAACAATCAAAAACAAGTATTTGATAGTAAGTTGCTATTACCATTTTTTCTAGGGGCTCCATGAGAATAGGTTATGATTTAATTCTATTCACCAAGAAAGCCAAAGCTTTAACATGTCTGTTCCTGTCAAGAACATTTCATGAAGAGGAGGGAGTTGAAGAGGCAAGTCAAACAATGACTGAGTGATAAAACTAAAAAGAATACATGTTTGATATGGTAGGGTTGTCAAGAACACTGACTCACATTAGTTGAAAATGCATCACTTTAAAAGGGAAAGTAGTTTGTGAAAGAAGGTTAACAATAAATAAACAATTAATATAATGAAAATGTTACTTGTAGTCTGTAGATTGGGATGTGATTATTTATGTAGACACTGTTAGTGTCTGTGTATATCTGATTACTATCTGTCTGTATGGACATTGCATGGAGTAATATTGATTACTCTTTTTCTGCTCAGTGTTCTTTTATTTGCCAGTTCCTTTTTGTAAAGGACATTGTGCTCAGTTTTATGTTTTAATGATAACATTTTAGGTTGTCGTTCCCATTCCATGCTTTGATGCTGATACTTGTAAACCAGTTGCCAAAGGTGCCCGAGCACAAGAAAAGGTTGGTAAATAGCAATGTGCAAGTCTGCTGCGTGAACCAACTGTAACCTAACGCTGTGAAAAAAAAAAGAGATTCTTGACTCATAATCTTTGAATGGAAAGTATCTCATTACCTTTGAGGGTATTTTATCACTAAGCAGCTTTATATGATATGAGAAGAACAAAACTGATGAAAGTATATTGGTTTTATTTATTTTTCAGCATGCTGTTGAGATGGGCCTTATCCTTAAATATTCCCCTTTCAAAACAGAAGAGGAGGTTATGAAACAGTTTAAAACTATTGATTCTGCATCAGGAACTCTACTTATAGTTTACAATTTGAAATTGCTGGACTCTGGGGAGCCTGAGCTGGACGTTCTTTCAGTACCAAATGATATTCTCTTGTCAAAATCCAGTGTGGATGACTTTGACACAGAGGATGGGTAATCAGTTTTTATATACAGGCACTAAATGTACAAACGTTTTTATTTTTAATTTTTTTTTTTTGTGTAAAATATGGCGCCACTGTATTATGCACCCCTAGCTTTATATGGCTCTCATTCATATTTTTATATGAAATCAGAGGACACCAATGTGAAAAATGTATTTTATTTTAGAACATATTAAGGGCCCAATATATCTTTTTAGGAATTATCATTTTAGTCATTATAAATGTACTATCCATTTTNGGTATAACCTATATTTCAATAGTAACAAAAAACATAGACACAAATAACAGAGACAAAATGTTTCACATATATTGCAAAAATAAAATGCCCAATATGATTTTAGCAGAGAAACGATCAATTTTGAAAGGCTTGATTTCATAAAATTATGCTGATTTGTCGAACCGTTTTTCATTGACGGGTAGCAATCTAGCTGTGGATAATGTTCTCTCTAACGGTATGTGTACACGTCACTAGACAGCAAAATATGATGACCTAATAGTAAAGGTAGTCATTCGCCTAAACGTACAGGTGCGAAAGCTCTCTAGTGACAGGGTCCCATTAAAGAGAAATCCACAAATAAATCTGCAGTCCTGGTACTTGTACTCTATGGTATTAGCTTTTTCATGTTGCTTTCTGTCGATAGTTTTCCAAAAAATTATTGGTTATGAAAAATTCACCATTTACAATATGTTCTTTTGGAAGGTTTATAAAATGCTGAAACTAAACCTCTTATTCTCATGGTAACAAGCCATATAATTGACAATAAGGCTTCACTTGTGTCTGTCTGCTGCTGTGCCACTATCTCAGTTGCTTAATTAGCTGCAGAAAAATAATCAGATAAATAGATGAGGGCGTATTTGGCAGCCAACGTTGCAGATTTCCTAGAAAGAAATTATGTAATTAATCCCGTTGTATTGATTGAACTTTTTTCCAGTCCCTGATAAAAAGCTGCGTGGTGGTTACATGCTGTGTTTTCATGATGATGGAGAAGGAATGGATCCAGGTGTGTATAATTAATGTTTTATCAATCACGAATGTCTTATCTCTTAAAAAGGTAGTATGTTGCTGGATTACAAGCAGTGTTTTCTCCCCCCCCCCCCCCAAACTCCCTCTAAAGCAATTTGTATTAATATTTGAACCAAGAATTTTATGCCAGAAAAATTGATGTTTGTTTTAAATTTTTTACAAAAAATATTTCGTAGGTAAGTTTCTTGATGTTCATTTTTTAATTTTTTTTTAAATTAAAGCTACGTTATTTTATTGCTTTTTAAAAATGTTCTTGAGCACATTTTATGGTATTGAAAATGTTTCATTTCAGATGAATGTGCTGACATTATTACATTTGGCAAATCTCACAAAAGAAATTTTGAAAACCAACAAATTGGAATGTATGGCAATGGGCTGAAATCGTAAGCACAACATTTTCATTTTGCCTTTTCCTGCTTTCAATTAGCTTGATAAAGTAAGGTATTTAAGTGTACATAAGAGCATAAATTTGAATAGTATTTTATCTGAATCAGTTGTTTGTTTCATTTCTCATAATGAGCACAGTGGAATGCTTCTGTTTCTAGCCAGGTGTTGCTGTAATTTTTTCAGTCCTACTGCCACCATTTTGTAACCTTGCATGGTAGTACCTACATTTAGTTGTCTCCTTATGGGTACTGTAAGGAATTATTATCATCCAAATATGGAAAAAGAGGATTTTCCTGCATCTAATTATTAATAATATATCTACCTTTGTACTGATTTAAAACAAAGAAAATCCCCTTGAAATATTTAAAATATTGGCATTCATTTCTCTCGTTGCTGTGTGTAAGCATAGGCCACTCAAAGCTTTTATCATCAGTTTAACAGCTTTCTATTTTGAGGTGAGATAGTGATCGTTATGGGGCATAACTTCATCCCAGAATAAGATTTTATCATCAAAATTGGCATAGTTGATCACAAGTCTATGGGCCTCAATCCTGAGCCATCATTTTGCTTTAAATGCTTTGGTTATGGAGTTTTGAGCCCTTGATTACAGATAACCAGAGGCATTAATTTGCTTTGTCTATGATAAAGTCTGAACTAAGACTTTTAAGAAAAATCTCTAGCACAGTTTAAGTGTATTAAATGGTGTCATTAAATTGGCAATGAAATGCATTTGTGGTTGCTCAGGTAAAGGAGAAATTTGAGAAACAGATTTTTCTATTTTAACCTCAAAATTGCAAAAATGACATCACCTGTAAGATGACATGTGTTTAAATGTTAATTTAGTTACTGAACACTGAAGATTTATCTGTTATCCAAAGGAAAGTATGTAAGGCAGTAAATAAGGAGTTTTTGGCAAAGGCCTGAAGTAGCCTTAATTAGTTGATAAATAAAAAAAAAGCACACAAGCCTCTATGCTATCACGTTAGTCTTTCATAATCCAAAAAGACCTGATAAATGTCTATTTGGTAATTTGACAAAAGTTGCCATACCCCTTTTTTTATTCTTTAAAGAATTTACTAGGCTAAAAACAAACACATCTAAGATATGAAACTACAAAGAGAGATTCCTGAGATTAGGGTTGAAAACATTTTTAGACTTCTAGCAGCAGGCCCATAAAGTCCAATTTTTCCCATTAGATTGCAACATATACGATTGCCAGAACAACAATCAAAAACAAGTATTTGATAGTAAGTTGCTATTACCATTTTTTCTAGGGGCTCCATGAGAATAGGTTATGATCTAATTCTATTCACCAAGAAAGCCAAAGCTTTAACATGTCTGTTCCTGTCAAGAACATTTCATGAAGAGGAGGGAGTTGAAGAGGCAAGTCAAACAATGACTGAGTGATAAAACTAAAGAGAATACATGTTTGATATGGTAGGGTTGTCAAGAACACTGACTCACATTAGTTGAAAATGCATCACTTTAAAAGGGAAAGTAGTTTGTGAAAGAAGGTTAACAATAAATAAACAATTAATATAATGAAAATGTTACTTGTATTCTTTAGATTGGGATGTGATTATTTATGTAGACACTGTTAGTGTCTGTGTATATCTGATTACTATCTGTCTGTATGGACATTGCATGGAGTAATATTGATTACTCTTTTTCTGCTTAGTGTCTCTTTATTTGCCAGTTCCTTTTTGTAAAGGACATTGTGCTCAGTTTTTTGTTTTAATGATAACATTTTAGGTTGTCGTTCCCATTCCATGCTTTGATGCTGATACGTGTAAACCAGTTGCCAAAGGTGCCCGAGCACAAGAAAAGGTTGGTAAATAGCAATGTGCAAGTCTGCTGCGTGAACCAACTGTAACCTAACGCTGTGAAAAAAAAAAGATTCTTGACTCATAATCTTTGAATGGAAAGTATCTCATTACCTTTGAGGGTATTTTATCAATAAAGCAGCTTTATATCATATGAGAAGAACAAAACTGATGAAAGTATATTGGTTTTGTTTATTTTTCAGCATGCTGTTGAGATGGGCCTTATCCTTAAATATTCCCCTTTCAAAACAGAGGAGGAGGTTATGAAACAGTTTAAAACTATTGATTCTGCATCAGGAACTCTACTTATAGTTTACAATTTGAAATTGCTGGACTCTGGGGAGCCTGAGCTGGACGTTCTTTCAGTACCAAATGATATTCTCTTGTCAAAATCCAGTGTGGATGACTTTGACACAGAAGATGGGTAATCAGTTTTTATATACAGGCACTATATGTACAAATGTTTTTATTTTTGTTTATTTATTTTTTTTTTTTCGGGGAAAAGATGGTGCCACTGTATTATGCACCCCTAGCTTTATATGGCTCTCAAATTGATATTTTTATATGAAATCAGAGGACACCAATGTTAAAAATGTAATTTATTTTAGAACATATTAAGGGCCCATTATATCTTTTAAGGAATTATCATTTTAGTCATTATAAATGTACTATCCATTTTTTTAGATTTTAGATTTAGATTTTTTTTCTTGTCATATATTTGTGCATCCATGAGTGACAAACCCTATTTTTTTAAGTAGAAAAGAACTATTAAGTGCTTCGCCTATGGCCCTTACAAAAGGCAGCAGTTTCAAAGTTCCTTCATCTTTTCCAGGTTGATGCCAGAGAGGAGATCATTTAGAGCCTATGCTGCATTACTGTATAATGAGCCTAGGATGAAAGTGTACATACAGGGAGAAAAAGTGCGGACTAAAAAACTAGCCAGCTGTCTATACAAACCTAAATGTTATAAGTACACATCCAGTAGATTTAAGGCTAGATCAGAAAATGAAGTGAAGAAGGCTCAAGAAGAAGCAAAAATATGTAAGAATTTGGAAACTTTTCTTGCTTGCATCATTATAAGCCAGGGGCGGATTTAGGCCGTCTTCTGGGTCTTCCGGAAGACGGTCAGATTTTCAAGTTTACATTGACGGGTATCTAATTTTTTCTGTCGGAAGACGGTCAAAAAATGGAGGATGGACCAACAAATATAATATGGAAGACTGTCAGAAAATATCTCTGGGTCCGCCCCTGAACTTGAGTGTTTAATCANCTGTCGGAAGACGGTCAAAAAATGGAGGATGGACCAACAAATATAATATGGAAGACTGTCAGAAAATATCTCTCGGGTCCGCCCCTGTAAGGCCCCCCCCCCTGCCCCCCCCCCGAAAAAAAAAAAATGGTCACCCTGTATCTGTGAAGTTGGATGTAAAAGATAATTGAAAGTTTTATATTATGTCATAATTGTGCCATACCATTTTGAAAAGTATATTTTACATTTATTTCTTTTTAGTAAAAGAAGAATAAAAAGTAAATGGTATGCCTGGCAAAAGTCCTACAAATACATTTAGATGATCATGTTTCTACTGTCTTACTATTTTTGTGATGATATCAGGCTAAAACAAGCCAAATCTTTACTTCAGATTATATGTTAGTCATTTCAATTTTTCCTTTTCAAGCTGAATACAAGGCAAAAGAAGCCTTAAGTAAATCAAAAGACCTTGAAAAACGGATCTCTAATTCAACTTCTAAAGAACTGAGGGTAGGTATCATATGGCACAATAAATGATATATAATTTTTATGTGCAGACTTAGTGTTGTGTGCGTGTGTGTATTCTGGTCACTCTGAGCCAAGTGGTTTTCTTCTTTGACTTCAAATTTATATATATATATATATATATATATATATATANTTTGCTGCCTTGTTTTAGTTGTAAATAGATTTTTTTTTCTTGTCATATATTTGTGCATCCATGAGTGACAAACCCTATTTTTTTAAGTAGAAAAGAACTATAAGTGCTTCGCCTATGGCCCTTACAAAAGGCAGCAGTTTCAAAGTTCCTTCATCTTTTCCAGGTTGATGCCAGAGAGGAGATCATTTAGAGCCTATGCTGCGTTACTGTATAATGAGCCCAGGATGAAAGTGTACATACAGGGAGAAAAAGTGCGGACTAAAAAACTAGCCAGCTGTCTATACAAACCTAAATGTTATAAGTACACATCCAGTAGATTTAAGGCTAGATCAGAAAATGAAGTGAAAAAGGCTCAAGAAGAAGCAAAAATATGTAAGAACTTTTCTTGCTTGCATTATTATAAGCCCCCCCCCCCCCCCAAAAAAAAAAAAAAAAAAATGGTCACCCTGTATCTGTGAAGTTGGATGTAAAAGATAATTGAAAGTTTTATATTATGTCATAATTGTGCCCTACCATTTTGAAAAGAATATTTTACATTTATTTCTTTTTAGTAAAAGAAGAATAAAAAGTAAATGGTATGCCTGGCAAAAGTCCTACAGATACATTTAGATGATCATGTTTCTACTGTCTTAATATTTTTGTGATGATATCAGGCTAAAATAAGCCAAATCTTTACTTCAGATTATATGTTAGTCATTTCAATTTTTCCTTTTCAAGCTGAATACAAGGCAAAAGAAGCCTTAAGTAAATCAAAAGACCTTGAAAAACGGATCTCTAATTCAACTTCTAAAGAACTGAGGGTAGGTATCATGTGGCACAATAAATGATATATAATTTTTATGTGCAGACTTAGTGTTGTGTGCGTATTCTGGTCACTCTGAGCCAAGTGGTTTTCTTCTTTGACTTCAAATTTATATATATATATATATATATATATATATATATATATATATATATATATATATATATATTTTAATTTGTTTTTATTCAGTCAAATAGAGTAAAGTATTGTTGAAACCATTAAACTATGATGAACTGTGATGATACAAAAGAACCAGGTCATTCCATGCATTATTGCATTGACCTCAATTTAGTGCAGATAAGGACTAAATGTTGAAACCATATCTGTTTTAATTTAAAGGTGGGATTTGTAAGTACTTTAAGCCTGCATTCATTTAAGCTTAAATATAAAATCATCTCAGATGATTCTTTCCTGTTGCTGTTGAATATTATGAGATCTCTGTTGCTTGGATTCCAGGCTGAAATGCGAAAGGCTCAAGCTACAGCAGTTGAGTTGCAAAAAGACGCCCAGTTAAAAAAACAGATTGCAGAGAGGCGGTCAAAGTAAGTGCTGGTTATCCTTATAGGGGACTTTTATAACCTATTTTATTCCAGGTCTTTGCTTTGCCTTGTATCTTTCCCTTTACTTCACCATACATCTTGCCTAGATGCCATTGAGTCTTTGAATTTCATTATTGAATGTCTGTATATGTAATGCTTTTAATGTCTTATTGCCTAGATGCCATTGAGTCTTTGTTTGAATTTCTTTATTGAATGTCTGTATATGTAATGCTTTTAATGTCTTATTGTATTTGAAACTTGGGGGGGGGGGGGGGGTTGCTAGGATATTGTTGATCTCTTAGAAGCAAGATCACCATAATTTCCATAAAACTTGCAAGCTTTTATATATCAGTTGTCAGTAGCTCTAAAGAAATAAACTGGATGTTATCAGTTGCTGTATATTAAATTATTTGTAATATTATTCATTTTTTTGCAACAGTAAGTTCTCCATATACAGACAGGAAAAATCTTGCTTTGCAAGCTTAAAAAGTATATGTTTTACACTGCTAACATTAAAAAACTTGTCATTGTCTGAAGCATTTACCAAGTTGATGAACCTTTTCATTTCATAAACCACTTTTTACTAAATTTGTTGTCCAGATCTCTCAAGGATCCCAAGACACTGAACTTCATCTTTGGAATCAATCTAAGCAACAGAAATCAGTACGGCATGTTTGTGTACAACTGCAGCAGGTTAATCAAAATGTACGAAAGAGTGGGGCCACAATTAGATGGAGGGGTGTAAGTATACTACCAGTGAATCATTTATATTTCTGTGGATCAATTGAACTCATGCTCTCAACAAAAATGTTTCCAGATTATTGAGATACCAGACCTAGTAATTCCTGGCTAATCTATATTTTAGTTTACCACAACAACTGTCACTATTCAGGAATCATTCAATGAAAAACTTGCATTATACCAGACTAAGTGTTATCAAACAATATTTAATGTTTTTGTGCTGTTGTTTAACAAACAGATGCTGTCTAGAATGCTACAAGAAAAAAAAATGACACCCAAAAGTAGATGCAGATTACATTGTGAAATATAAAATGATTCCTTTGGCAGGTTTTGCAGTGGTGTTATTGGCATAGTAGACGTGCCCTATTTGGTTCTAGAACCCACTCACAACAAACAGGACTTTGCAGATGCCAAAGAGTACAGACATCTGATGAAAGCCATGGGGGAACATCTCAAGCAATATTGGAAAGACACGGGGATTGGTGAGGAATGAACATAAGGATTGAAAAAGAATTTGAATAGAAATCTCAGATTTCTTTCTGACTTTGTTTCCATAGCTTGGGAGGATAGAACCATAACAGCATTGTCTTTCAGATCGACTTCATGTAAAACTGGTGCTATATGCCCTGGATTAAAACCAACCTATTTTTCTGTAAATTTAGTATTTCTTGGAATGTTTTAAGTGCATAAGATGTGCTGTACATACATGTGCATATGTTACGCTGTAAACCTTGGACCATTTTGTTCTTATATCCTGCCTGTTTTCAGTAGAGGAAATATTAAATTCCAACTTAAAGCCATTTATTCTCAATTTAAAATTGTTTTCTCACTTTATTATTTCAGCTAACCAAGGAGTCACCACATTTTGGTAAGTGAGCCATTGCATTGTTACCAGTTGTAGGAAAAATTTAAAACAGCTCATATTAATATGAACTGAAATAATGTCTTTTTAAAGTAGGTGTCTTATATAGTGTCCACAATTTTTGTTTATTTACTCATTTCAGGGAGAATTTCGGTTACATCAGTCCCAACTGGAAAGCTCCTCCGTCCGATGACCCAAAATATTTAAGAAAGCGAGCCATGCAAGTTAGCATGTGCATTCAATGTGGTAGGTTGTATTTTTGCTTCTGAACCCCATTGGAATCAATAAGTTTCTGTCCTTCATAATTATACCAGAAGTAAAAATTGTTAAGCTGGAGTTGCATTATACTTTCCCATATTGGTTTTTATTTGGTCTTTGTATTGCTATCACTTAAATATGCTAATGAATCACAAATGATAACACTTCACATTTTTATGGGGCAGATAGCCCCCTTTTCTCTTTTTGATTCAAGACCACATGTTAGAAAGGAAATGTATACATATCAATATTTTTCCTCCAGATGAGTGCCTGAAATGGAGAATGCTTCCCTTTTCCTCCAGTAGTATTGGTAAAGTGTATCCAGATAACTGGGTTTGTGCCATGAACCCTGACCCTTCACATAACAAGTAGGTGAACACACCCACGCAGTCACGCACACACACACACACATGCCTCTGAGTCCAGTACATTAAGAGTTAGAGGATGGTTTCCATGTTTGACTGCCAGATATCACAAATCTTAAAGCAGTGGGACAAGATGTTGAAGGGAGCTCGTAATTTCACTTTTGTTGAATATGGAAAAAAAATATGACCCAGATTTTTGTTTTACCTTTACTATCTTAAAAAAGACTTCAATCAGAGTGGTTGTCTTTTTTTTCTAGATGCTCTGCCCCAGAGCAGAAGTTGAATATACCAGAGGGTGTCCTCAAAAAGGAAGTCCGAACTAAAGACCAGAAAGAAAAGGAACTTGCAGAAGTGAGTATTACATTTTGAAAGTTTGGACATAATGCTTGTAGGCTACTTTCCCAGTAGCTTTTCTTTATTATTTTATAACTCACTAACAGTCAAGAATTCTTTGACTAGTATTTTGGAATGTCAACGTTTATCAAAGAAGCAGACACCTTTTAGAATGCATATTTTTCTTTTACTTATTATCGTATTCCCATTTCAGGAAATAAAAAAGAAGCAAGAAAAGTTGAAAGCCATGAAGGTATCTTTTATTTTTATGTTTTATTAGAGGCAAAATTTTGAAACAAAAATAAATAATACCTAACAACTTTTTTGTTTTGGAATACAAGCTTTGAAATGAATTCAGTTAAAACTTTGATTGAAACAACAAAAGTTATGTTCATATTTGGGTATATTTATATGTATTTCTTTTCTAGAAAACACAAGTTGTTACGTCATCACGGCAAGGAAGGCAGCTTTTAAGAAAGAAACAAGAAGAAGAAGAGGAAGATGAGGATGAAGAAGATGAAGAAGAAAGTGAAGAGGAAGATGAGGAGGAGGAAGAGGAAGCACCAGCTCCTCGGAAATCTGTAAGTACAGAATTTGTCTTCATACTGGAAATAGAAGCATGTGATTAGAAAGTTATACACAGAGGGTAAACAAACTAGTAAAGAAGATAGATAGTAGGCACAAGACAAAATGCTGTGTATATAAAAATATCAATATGATGGTGTCTAAGAACAAGATAATTGTTTTGCCAAAGGATTTGTTACTCATATTATTTTGCATTTCACTTAATCTCATTTCCCAGCGCGAACCTCAACGCAGACCACCTCCAGCAAAATCCAGTAGAATCAAAGTTCCCCCCTCCCCACCCACTGCTAAGTCCAGGTCCACCCCTGCCAGGCCAGTCTCTTCCACAGCAGCAGACAGCAGAAAGACGGCTCCGGCCTGGGCAGACAACAGGAGAAGATCTGACACTACCACCACCACTACTACTACTACTACACCAAAGGCCACGCCCCCACAAGTGACATCTACCAGACCAGAGCCCAGTAAGAAGACTGTGCCAACCAAAGCCCCAGCTGTGACCACCACTAAGACAGCACCAGTGTCTAAGGTAGGGACAGGATAACTAGGACATTCAGGATGCCTTGGTACCCAGAGTCCTGTATTAAGTGATGATTTTGCCTTCACTTAAACCATAAAATGCAATGCCAGGAGCCTTTAGAATACTTAAATAAGGATCATATAATTGTGTAAAGTCAGTGGAGTTTCACTGGTTCTAAGTACTGAAAAATGTGCACATTGTGTAGAAATATTTTACTAAAAGATGGCATTAAGTCATGGCCTCCACAATTTGAAACTTGCATGTCATAAATATTTCCCAACACTTCTCTTTTAACCTCGAATCAGACAAAATTATTTTTCAGAAATGTTTGAAATGTATTTTCACCATTGAATTAACAGGTGACAGAAACCAAACCTGCTGCAGCTGCTGTGAAAAGAAAGGCCTCTGTTACATCAGTTGTGTCTTCAATAGCAAGTGAAGAATCAGACATGGACGAGGTGCCTTCCAAGAAAAAAAGTTTCATTAAGGTAGCATATCTGCTTCTTTCCAAGATTTTATAGTGGATTCTTTAATGATATCTTAGGCTGCTCAGTATGGGATAACCTAAATATCTTTAAAGGCTTTTTATTTCATGTAAAAACTGTCAGTATGTTTTTCTTCTCTCTTGGACAGGAAGATGAGAAGGAAATTAATAATGATATTAAAGAAGACAGTGCTGTGGAAACAAATTATGATGATGTTTCGATGAGTGAAGATGGAAAGGACAGTAAGTTTCTAAATATATTACTGTTATTGTGTTATGGAACTGTCAGTTTAAGTTGATCCTTGATGTCTAGTTCTAATGGTTAATTCAAGTGCGTGAAAGTCTTTCAGTTTTATAAGTAGGACTTCAGAACATCATTGTGGGCTTTTGAAAAAAGAAGTTGTATGATCTTACATTTTAAGTTTTGTTTTTAGGTGAGATTGGAAGGAAAGTGGATGCTTGGATCAACAAAGATTGGTAAGCATTTTCAAATGAGAATTTTTATGTGGTATGTGGTGAAGAAATAAAACTGTCATTTTTTCTGTTGCTTTCATAGCTGTTGTCTACAATGTCTAAGATCACTGCGGTGCCTTTAAGCACCTATCTGTGCATCCAGCAACTTCATGGTAACCATCTTCACAAATTCATTCCTTCTAAATTCATGTTTGCTGTAAGCAAGATTTAATGAAGTTGTCCCTGGTTTTATGTCCTGTGAGCAAGAGTTGTAATTTCATGCAGTGTCTCTCTTTCACAGCTAGCACAACCACAGCCAGGAGTACACAATTACAGCATTGTACTGGAAATGCACAGAGCATGAGGCCTAAAGCCCATTCTATAAAATTTTGTCCAATAATTTTTTCAATAAACAATCTTTTCCATAAATAGTTTCACGTGCAAACTGCAATTCTGACAAAATGAAAGTAACCAGATAATTTAAAAAACAAGAATGTTCATTTTTTGTTGTTTAACCATAATATAGTTGTCTTAAAAGATACACAGGTTGAAGGTAGTCTCTAAGATGTATGGAGCCTTTTACATATTGAAAGGTACATAGCTTTAGGCCTATAAATTACAAAACGTGAGTTTTCCTGGAATTTTTTTTCATCTTTTTTAGGTCTAGATTTTCTTTTTTAAATAATTCTAATAATGGAGATGAAACTGGTAAATAAAAGTTTTGATGGTAAAAATACAAAATATGAACTAATTTCAAAAAATGAGTTTATAGGTCATATTTTGCTCAACAGTTTTGAAAATTGTTGAAGTTTACAGGGTATTAATTAATTTAATTTATTTATTTATTTATTTATTTATTTATTTGCTATATAAAGATCTAAAATGCATCATGTGTCATTACTGGGAACAAAAAACCATGCAGTTCAAAAAGTCATGTACAACTGATACAAAGATAAGCAGATAAAGTGTTTACAGTTGTGAAATTGCATTCTTATTCTTTGCGAGCTCTCAAAATCAGCTTAAATCCCAGGTAACATGTCAACTTATTATAAAACTATTGAATTGCAGTGAAGTAGGTCACAAGGTTAAGCTTGGGAAGCATTCTGTCAAAATCAACCATGTTATCTTGTTGTTGTTATTATTATACAATGACAAAATGACCAAATTGTGTTCAATAAATAGGACATTTTCAAAGATGCCGCTTTTTAAAGTATGTAAGCCCTAATAACAATGTGGTGATTCTAAAAACAAAGCAATACAATGACCCCATAACCACAAACCTGTGGACCTCCACACCCTTCTTTTGTTATAAATATGTCAGTAAAAATCAAAGAAAAATATCCTATACACCTTGAAGGATATGAAGGGAATTCTTTGTCTTTTGTAGGCATGCTGGCAAAGTAGTGAAAGTAAACAGGCAGCAGCAGAAGTGGAAAATTAAGTTTGACAAGTACCCAAAGGACAAATACGATAAATGGTAAGAGTGCATGAAGAGTTGCCTAATCTTGTGCGTGCATGTTATGTGTGGTGGGAGAAAACTAGAATGTGGGACCAAAACAAGATGATTCAGCCTTCTACTCTTATGGTCAAATGTTCGTAACTGGGAATCGTAGCAATAAAGAAAACTCGTCCATCCATGTCCAAATAATTGTGACAACTTTTGCTGAAATCTTTGAGCAAGGTTCAGTGAGCATACTTAATTACAGCTTTTAGACTATCGTTCCAGATAGAGCTGCTAAAACGGTATACGCATTAAATGATTTACCTGTACTTAATTGACCTCTGAAGATTAACAATGCCTGTGGCTGGATTTAGTCAGTCATGGTATATCTCTTACTGGTTATGATTTAAGGCCATAACCAGAAAGAAATTTTTAAAAGATTTAATATTAACTTTGTGAAGAAGTAGCCAGGTTAACCTCTGCTGTGAGAAACCTGTGGAGTCCTGATCAGTAGGGATGGGCAGGCTGAGGGGGTGTGGGTGGGATCGTGAGGGGAGGGGGGTTGGAAGTTGTACAGGGGTTCCCCATTAGATAGACCTACCTGCTCTATTGGTGGTTTGCAAACAAAGTGGCCCCTCTTCAGAGGTTTTTTTTTTTTTTTTTTTTTTTTTTTTTT